ACTGGCTTGGCGCCTGGAAGGCGGGGCTTCGTGACCTAATTAAGGATAGGCAATGATTAGAGAGCACGGGCGCGGGAGAGGAGCAGACTGCGTTGCGGGTGCGAGCAGTCTGTCACAAAGCCCCGCCTTTCAGCCGCCAAGCCTGTTGGATCGAAGGTTAATTCTTATGGAAGTCCGTGAAAACATTGTCTTTTATTTTTTTCCTTTTTTTTCTATCGAGATGAAAACCACAGTTTTTATAGAGTTTTCGCATAATAAATGCCTGTATTCACTCTAGTCCTCATTAGATTTTATTCTAAGGTTTTTCACAGCCTAAAACAACTAAAACTAATGATCTGTGACTTGAATAAAAGTTTTTTTGAAAAAGTGAGAGGAACAGAAAATGTTAATAAAATGTTATTGCACCATCAGCAGCGAGTAACCTTGCCCTAATTTTATTCTGATTACAATAAAATAGTGCAATCTCGTCTCTCAGCTTTTTTGTTTGCTTTTGAAAACAATGAAAAATCAAATTTGTAATCCTCTCCTATAATATAAACCCGATCCCAAAAAACGAGACGGCGAGGATGGTCCGCCCACATGTATGCTTCAGCGGGTGTTTTGAATAGACGCCAGTTTCCGAACGAGGCCTTATTGTGTAGAGACGCGATGGTGCGATCATGAGGTCAAGAGGACGCAGAGGTCCTAGCGCGAACGAGAGGCCACGACACGCAGGGTACGCTCTGCTGCTGCAATGGGTGTGTTGAAAGACGCAAGCGCGTGCCAAGGGTGTTGAAATTGCGAGCTGGACATTGTTGCAAAGTTAGTTATAGAAGCATACCATTTGATCCGCTCACATTCGATCTCAGTATTCATTATGCTTCCACATTTCCGCCCAATTTTGAGAAAGTCTTCGAAAGTTCCGCTTTTGGGAGCTTTTGCTCTGGGTGAATCCGATTTTTCTCTCCAGATTGTAAGCGTGAGTGCGAGAGTGACATTGCGAAAGGAAGCTGTACAGCGATGACTGGGGCAAAACAAAATTTTAGCACGATTTGATCCACTTTTCCGCCAAATTTTGAGAAAATCTTCGAAAATTTCGCTTTTGGGAGCTTTTGCTCTGGGTGAATCCGATTTTTCTCTCCAGATTGTAAGCTTGAGTGCGAGGGTGATGTTGCGAAAGGAGGCTGTACAGCGATGACTGGGGCAAGACAAAATTTTAGCACGATTTGATCCACTTTTCCGCGAAATTTTGAGAAATTCTACGAAAATTTCGCTTTTCGGAGCTTTTGCTCTGGGTGAATCCGATTTTTCTCTCCAGATTGTAACGTGAGCGCGAGAGTGACATTGCGAAAGGAAGCTGTACAGCGATGACTGGGGCAAGACAAAATTTTAGCACGATATGATCCACTTTTCCGCCAAATTTTGAGAAAATCTTCGAAAATTTCGCTTTTGGGAGCTTTTGCTCTGGGTGAATCCGATTTTTCTCTCCAGATTGTAAGTGTGAGTGCGAGGGTGACGTTGCGAAAGGAGGCTGTACAGCGATGACTGGGGCAAGACAAAATTTTAGCACGATATGATCCACTTTTCCGCCAATTTTTGAGAAAATCTTCGAAAATCTCGCTTTTGGGAGCTTTTGCTCTGGGTGAATCCGATTTTCCTCTCCAGATTGTAAGCGTGAGTGCGAGAGTGACATTGAGAAAATTATAGGTATGAAAGACGTTTATTAATGGGTGTGCCCTACCCGCTTGCTAGCGACCCGTAGGGTCGCTAGTCTTATATATAAAGCTGAATGTCTGTTTGTCTGTCTGTCTGTATGTCTGTCTGTCTGTCTGTACGTATGTTCCGAATAGAAAATTCCATTTCTGAACCGATCCGGACCAAACTTGGCACACATACACTTCGGGCCCCGGCGGGTGTCACAGTCCACTTTTCGTTATCGATTGATGCCGATTTTATCGATTTTTTGTAAAATTTGAGCTAGGGGGCTGGGATTTGGCACAGGGGGGTAATCGAGCATGCTGATTACGAATACAATATTAGTTTTTGAAATCGTGCATTACTTTTATCGATTTTATCGATTTTTTTGCAGAGTTTGAGCTACGGGGCTGGGATTTGACACAGGGGGGGGGGTAATCGAGCATGCTGATCACCCCCGTGGGGGTGATCAGCATGCTCGATTACTTTTATCGATTAAAATCGATAAAAGTAATGCACGATTTCAAAAACTAATATTGTATTCGGAATCCCCATGCTCACTTACCCCCCTGTGCCAAATTCCAGCCCCCTAGCTCAAATTTTGCAAAAAAATCGATAAATCGATAAAAGTAATGCACGGTTTCGAAAACTAATATTGTATTCGTAATCAGCATGCTCGATTACCCCCTGTACCAAATCCCAGCCCCCTAGCTCAAATTTTGCAAAAAATCGATAAAATCGGCATCAATCGATAACGAAAAGTGGACTGTGACACCCGCCGGGGCCCGAAGTGTATGTGTGCCAAGTTTGGTCCGGATCGGTTCAGAAATGGAATTTTCTATTCGGAACATACGGCGGAGCCGGGTATGCCAGCTAGTATTAAATAAATGTAAGTGGGTGATTTCAATTGTGCAACTGATTGTTAGGGGAAAAAATTGAAAAAAACCAAAAAGTTTGAAAAATTAGGATTCAAATTAGTAAATTCTAATTAAATAATTGAATAATCAAATAATCAAATATAACAATTTAATTAGTGATAAATCAACTAATCAAAAATCCAAAAATTCAGAATCATAATCAAATGTGCACAACGAACAAGCATAAGTAACTTGAAGTTTTGAGAATCTCAATTTTTCACTCCCCTTAATAGGTTTCCTTAATTAGATTTATAGAATGTTGTCCTCACTTCAAATATTAGAGAGTTTCTGGAAGCTATTTTTGTTCTCCCGCCAGAACAAAATATTTACAGAACGAATATCGTGTTCGACGTCATTACTTTTTTTCGTGCAATAGGATTTTAATTTGTTTACACAGTTTCTTCCGAACTGGATTCACTGCGATTACCATGTCGCGTATTTAATCCCAGCTCACTATTTATGGTAACCAGTTATATGAATCATTTCATTAGTTCCATATCAGTGCTGGTCTGTGCTCTTTAAGAATGTCGTAAATATAGCACTCAACCAAAATTTGAGGGCTCTTGTGGAAAAGTTTTGTGCAAACTTTTTACAACAGATTACGAGCAGATTCTTATTATTTAAAGGCAGCGTCCGGGCAAAGTTTCGCTTTTCATGTTTCTGCCATTCTGGGGCCTTTTCATGGCCCTGATTACAGTTGTAAAGTCCAAATTATTCAATCCCAAAAAACTCGGTTTTTGGGGACCCTCTCTTTAAGGACCGGACGAGTTTCAAATTGCTCGTCCTCATCGTCATGCCAGCGGGAGAAACTGCAACTGCATGGATACAGTTGCATTGCAGTGTGCAGTGCAACTGCAATGCAACTGCAAGGCAACTGCAATGCAACCGCACACCTGCGTAAGCACTCGTCCTCAGGGGTGGTTTGTGATACGAAGGGGCGGCTTGTGATACGTATCACAAGCCTGTATCTCCTTTTAGAGGGCACGTCAAAGGATCGGACCAACGCAGATCGGATACTCATGGGCCCCTCTTTACAACTATATGCTAATCTGGGTAATTGGATCTTGCCTGGACGCTGCCTTCAAGTGATGGTTTTATGTTTCTTTGTGCAAATAAGTCTGAATGAATGCCCTCACTCAGTCGGTGGCTCCTGCAGTTACGAGAAGATTTCTGCAAGATTTCGTTGAAAAATAAACTGCAGAACCCTGCAAATTGTCCTTGAAAAGAAAAAAAATGCTCAGACATCTATCCGTTCGTTTTTCCTCCGACTCATAGATCATAGTTTTGTGTAACACGATCAATGATCGTTTGTCTCTTGGCACAAATAAATTGAGCGATCTCATTGAGAAATCTTTACCAAGCCTCTTACTTTGCACTTATTTTTGTAGAAATCCAGTCTTTTTCGATTTTTAATTGTCTACTTGTGATTGTTGCTTGTTTTTATTTCTCTGGGGAAGGAATTTAAGTTCAGTGTAGACAAATATTTTTACTGACTCCTGTATTTCCGGGCAGGATATAGCCTTCAAAACTTAATCCCTTAATCACATTTTTATTCATATTTTGAGTCCACTTGCACCTTCTTTGCTCATTTTTGTCCGTTTTCTGCTGCTTTTTATGGAGGTTTTCAAGATTATTGAAGCGAAATCTCACCTACTCAGACAAGTGACCGGAACTTCCGCAGAACGTTAAGAAAATTTCGTCGGGTCACCTGAGGAAGTTCCAAAATGAGGTGCTGCGGAAGTCCCGAACAGTGCAAACCACAACAGCAAAAGAGAACACCTAAGCGGGATTTGAACCTTATTCTGTTGACTGCGAGACTCACCTACTACCCTCTGCACTGCGGATGACATGTTCAGTAATGCACTCTAGTTGTTGGAGGTAACATCATACGAGACAACACAATCAAAACCTTGCGGAAGTATTGGCATGTCAAAGTGCTGCGGAACTGCTGGCATTTTGCGGGAGTTATGCAGCGCTTTCTAAAAAGTCCTGCGGAAGTTTCCATTTCAACTTTTCCACTTTTACAATAGCAAACAAAACCCTGTGGAAACGCTGCAAATTTCGCTTGCCCTGCGAAAGTTCCGGTGAATTGTCTAAGCAGCGCCCTATGTATGTTTGAACAATGATTCTTAACCATTTAATTATGATATCGAGGCCCAAATTAAACCTTACCAGTTACTTCAACTTTTTGCTCACTGCAAAATTTGAGGCCTACTGTTTTTTTTTCAAATTCTGATTTATCCTTCTCGTCAAATAGTCTCAAACTTGTCCATTCTTCAATAATTAAGTATTCATATAAGTGATCCTTGTCTCTAAACTACTCAGCGTGGAAAAAAATTTCTATCTTGTTATAAATGACTGGTGCATTCGTTTACCATTCTTTGTAAGACTGTAATTTCGTTTAAACTAAGCATTTTGCACATTCTCCAGAACATTCTACAAAGACGATGGCTTCGATAGTCGACGACAACAGGTAAATGCAAGAGATTTATTAATTCAGTTTCAAATCAGCGAGATCAATGGGTTATGCATAAGCAATAAGATTTCTTAAATTCCTTCATTTATCATCACCAGCGCCAAATGCAAAGGTACTATCACTTGCAAAATTTTTACAATAGATAGACATTTACTTTATGCACACATCATTAATCTTTCACAGGAGAAGCAAATGAATTCAGCCCATCGCCAATTAGTGGCCGTATTCTACCCACTTTTTGTGGGTTCCGGAACCCACTGAGCGCTGGGTTGGCGAACCCAAGCATGGTGCAAATTCCTCACATTTCTAGCATTTCCATTTAATCTCCGTAAAAATGCCGTCTTTTCTGTTGGCTCTGGTTTGGCGGTTGGAGGGCCAGACATTGTGACTTGATTAAGGCCGCTCGCGTTCGCGACGCACTCTGCGTCTCTCCCGCGCGCGTGCTCTCTGATCATTACCCAGCCTTAGCTAGGTCACAAAGCCTCGTCTTCCAGCCGCCAAGCCAGTTAAATCAAAAGGTACAACAAATATCTACAATAACTGCTTTTGCTCCATGTGCTCGAAAAAAAATTGATCACAGTTCAAAAAGTTTTTGTTATCATAGACCTTGAAATTTGAATTAATTTGATTTCATAAATTCAGTAAACCAATATCTCTTTGTTGTCTTCAGATCCTTGCAATTGATTTTTGTTCGAAAAAATTTATTAGTTTGTTTTATTTCGCCAAGTTCTATTGAAACTCAAACTGTTCTTTCTTGAGCATGTTGAACTACTGAAATTTTCAAAAGTAACTGAATTTATGACTTTTCGCACAATAAAGTCATCTACAAGTTGGAACATCTTAGATTTGATAAAAGACTTCAACTTAAACTTCGTTTTTCTTACAGCTTGCATTCCTTCACTAGATTATTACCAGTATATTCAAAATACATTAAAAATGCTTTCTGACTTACAATTAGACAAACTTGATATGCTTGCGAGAATGTATATCAAAAATGTTGAGAAGGAAAAATGTATAGAAATACAAGTCCAGGCAACCTTAAGCTTATGAAGAGCTCATTTTAGGATGTTCCTGACGGCAGAAACGGATTTTGGGCTGAACATGCTCCGCCAAGTGCCTGTCAGTGAATCCGTGGTTTTCTCTCCCCTTTCTGTGATATTCGCTCTTTCCATGGTCCGCACTGGAGCCCATGGAAAGACCAAGAGTCAGATCAGTGAATTGCTAGCTAAAGGTACTTTCCGCCACCAAAGAATCAAAAAAAATGTTTTCGTATTGATTTTCAGGAAAAATTGATGACGATGCTATAACTGAACATTATTCAAATCTCTCATTACAAATAATGAATGCGGAAAATGGAGTGCAAAGTAGGATTGCAAACGGATTCTTCTTGAAGTATGCAAAGATTTTTTACTGCAATTCATCTATCTGAATGTAAAATAGAGATTTTTTTCAGCAAGGATTTCAATATCGAAAAGGACTACGCAAACGAAATCACCGAGAAATTTTTAGCAAAAGTGGAAAGCTATGATTTCACGAAAGCAAACGAGACTGCTAAGGTTTGGTTTATTTTATTTCACTCCTTTGAAGTCTCCACATAGGATTTAATCCTTTGACATCATTACATGGGATTCGCTAACTGACAATGCCATACCCAGGATATCCTTTCGGGAGGGGGGGGGGGGAGGACAAAAATTTATTTTCGAAGAAGGTGCTTGGCATTAACCATGCACTCAAAAACATTTTGATATGCTTTCCAGAATCTTCGGGGCCTCCACGTCTTCGAAAAGAATTTATAGGGCTGTATTGATTCTTCAAAAAGGCTCAAAAAATGCTTCAACTATTTACAGGCATAAGCAGCCACTTGCACATTTTTATAACTCATGTAAGTAAATTTTAAAAGATGCGCAACCCATCCTCGGGGAGGGGGGGGGGGGGCTAGCTAACTAGTATTACAAGATTCAGGAATATAGGATACGTCTCCTTAGATAGCGAAATCATCATTTTCCAGACAATTAACGATTTTGTAAGCAATATCACAGAAGGAAAGATTCATGACATTGTGAATGCGGACACTGTCAAAGGTAAACCCATTACAAGTTTTCAGCTTTGTAAAAAATGTTGTGCCGATGAGCCAGTTTCGAATATATGTTTGCTGGAGCCTTTTGAACAGAACATTTTTGCTCATTATTCACTGTTCTCACAACAACAACAGAAGAGAATCACTTTCCACGTGAAATAGTATAAAATTAGCAGTTGATATTTTTGGTAATATAGATATCATGTGTCATTTTTTTTTTCACCTGATCAAATTTCACTTCAATGTTTGACAATGGGACAAGCGGCATCATTCGGTTGATTGAAGAAAGCTTTTTAAGATGAGCTCTGAATACATAAATCCCATGATTCTCTTGGGATCTCAGAACATTTCTAAGCCGAACTATGTCACAAAATTAAATGTAACAATAAAAACTCTTGAGGAATCTTCCATTTACTTGTGTAATTTTTTCGTCGGTAAACGTAAAGATAGCAAAAATAGCCAATCTTCGCAATAAAACTACCTCCTCATATAAGCTTTAATTCAACTGATTTGGCGGCTGGAAGTCGGGGCTTTGTGGCCTATGAGGCCGCTCGCGCCTGCGATGCAGTCTGCGTCTCTCCCGCGCGCGTGCTCTCTGACCATTAGCCGGCCTTGATTAGGTCACTAAGCCCTGCCTTCCAGCCCAAGCTAGTTGAATTAGAGGATACCTCCACACCAGACATGCGGAAATATAGTTGCAGCTCATTTCCTTGCACATGTGCTAATTTTCAACAATTCTACAATTATTCTATAATTCTACAATATTTCTACAATTCAACAATTCTATTTTTACTTTTAAATGAAAAATTGGACAACGCAAAAGTACTACTATATCAGAAATTTTAAGATAAAAAAAAGAGAATTCCAAATTTTATCTTGCAGATGCCTACTCGCTTATCGTCAATGCCATTTATTTCACCGCAGAATGGGAATATAAGTTTTATAGTGAAAGCAATAAAAAGCAAAATTTCTATAGTTCTGAGAACGATACTAGAGAGGTGAGCATTACCTATACAAATTTCGTAAGCTTATGAATAATTTTAGATAGAATTCATGAATGATATGGAGGAGCATAGACTTTATACAGAGGACGATCACGTACAGGTTTTATCATTACAATACAAAGACACTTCTTATGCGTTTAATATCTTTCTACCAAAGGAAAGGTAAGTCCTGCTGAGGTTCTGTTTTTGTATCTCGAATTCGGTTGTAGATTCGGTCTCGAAGAGTTGCGAAACTATTTGGATGGTGAAAAAATCGAACATTTGTTGTCCAGAGTAGAGATCACGTATATATCGGTAAGTCAGATAAAGATATGTAACCTTTGATCCAACTGGCTTGGCGGCTGGAAGGCGGGTCCTTGTGACTCAATTAAGGCCGCTCGCGCCTGCGACGCAATCTGCGTCTCTCTCGCGCGCGTGCTCTCTGATTATTATCTAGCCTTAATTAGCTCACGAAGTCCCGCCTTACAGCCGCCAAGCCAGTGGAGTCAAAGGATACCACATTGCTAGCTTCAGATATAGAAGTTTCGGATATATTTTTGAAAAATTTCTGGATATGAATGATATGTGAAATATGTAAAACATTTTAATACTTTTTTGCCTTTGCATTCCTGCATGGTTTGGGAATACCTACCTATATTTATTATGAGCTGCATTATGACATTCTAGCAGATGTAGTTGATCTAACGTCCTTAAATGAAGGCAACTATGCGCGGAAACAAAAAAAACTTATCAATCTGATAATTTGATTGCGATTTGCGCGTAGAAATGACCAATGAGCCCAGATCACTACTGTATACGCGCAAATGTTGTCGGCAACGCAATAGCACTATAATGACCGTCGAATCTCGCTAGGCTGTAATTGCAAACATCCTATATGTTTTCTATTGCATTTACAACGTTATCAAGAAATTTTTTCCATAGTACAAACTTTGTTTCCCTTATCATAATGCTTTGGAATTTCAGTTAACAATACCGAAAATGAAGATTGAATCTGATTACAAGCTCAAGGATGCTCTTATGGAAATGGGCATTGATGATATGTTCGGTGATGAAGCTGACTTAAGCGGAATAGTGAAATCTCCTCAATTGAAAGTTTCCGATGCAGCTCATATGGCAATTATTGAGGTGAGTATCCTTTAATTCAACTGAATTGGCGGCTGGAAGGCGAGGCTTCTTGACTCAAGTAGGGGTAGGGTATGATGAGAGAACACGCGTGCGGGGGAGACGCAGGCTGCGTCGCGGGAGCGAGCGGCCTTAATTAGGTTACAAAGCTCCGCCTTCCAGCGCCAAGCCGCCAATCCAAGGTTATAAGGATGCTCAAGAACACATCGGGGATCTGGAAATCTGAACTTCAAATCTGAATACTGATTGGAGAAAGAGAGCGTGCGATATTTTGGGCCGCCTCTGGGAACAGCAGGGCTTTTGCCGATACCGTCGCACGTCGCCTAAAGACCAGTTGTCCGCGAAGACTGCCCAAAATGGCGGGGTTCTTTTCCTCTACTCTTATGGATAGCTAAACCACTGCACAAACGACAGCTCATATGATACATTCGTGGCCGAGAAACATTCTAAAGTGTGGTCTCGAATCTTGCTAGGACCAACCAGCGTTCCATTCTTGGTAAAAAGTACGATCTGGGCCGAAGTTTAGAGCTGAATATCTCAACCACGAATGTATCATATGAATTGCCGCTTAAGCAGTTGCTTAATTTAGGCTATCCAGATTTTTCTGGGCGCTAATTTTAAAGTATGGTATTCGAAATAATTTAGGTAGACGAAGAAGGCACCACAGCAGCTGCTGCCACAACGGTAAAAGTTGTCCCAATGATGTTGATAATGGAAGAGCCGAAAAAGTTTGTGGCCGATCATCCATTTATTTTTGTTCTCACCAAAGATATGAATCCATTATTCATGGGGCAATTTGTATAAATATCTCAGATTGTATGTAGGAAATAATGTTTGTCATTTCCACGTCTTCTCTCATGTACAAAAATCGATTTAAAAAAAGAATTCTCCGCTGTGGTTTGTATCACCTTGACATACTTAATTCAAATTATCTGCAGTTATAAATGTTCGTAACCCTTACCTTGCTAGTTTCAGATGTTCTGTGATGATGTTAAGATCTGCTATTAATAAAACTTTTAAATTGCGGGTGGCTAGTCATCAAAGTACATTGTCAATATGGTCAAATAATTTCTTTCGATGAGGTCAAAAAGTTTTGGGCCGTGCTATCAATCGTTTGTTACTACGCAATAAATTCTATAATATTAGGTGGGTCAGAAAGTTCTTGCTGTTTTTTAGACCTATACTCAAATCATTCAGAATAAAGATAGACAAACACTCTAAAAAAAGTCGTATGCAGAATTTTTCCTCTTTCCAGCAGTAATATTCTCGTTCGAATTCCTTTGATGTTCGCTTAAAAATTTTTCAGAATCTTCAACTCATGTTTTTTACCTACCCTAATTTTTGCTATTTTTCTGATTTTTGTTTTGAACTTTTCGAAATGCTCTAGTAACAGTTATATAGAGGAAACAAAATGCGATGTAATAAAAATTTCTTGGCGTTGATAATTGGCTTTCCAAATTTTCTAAAATTATCAGTTTGATGTTAACACATTTGATATTTGTTTATCCCAAACCTCGTAACAACATCAGACGGCAAACAGCTAGAGTGTCACTCGACGCAGCTTCTTCTCGTCTTTTTGATAAATGTTTTTTCTTTCTTATTTGCAAAGGTTCAAAAAATCTGCCATAATCCTAGTTTTTTGATGCGTAAAGGCTGCACACAAAAATTCCAAAAATCAGTTTCGATGTGGTAGATACTAGTCTATTTGTTGTTAGTGTTTGATCGTAATCGATTTTTAGAAGTTCTAACTTGATTGATAGCGTTTGAAGCATTTGTATATTTTACGACTTTGCAAATGCGAGGACTTTTGGAGGACTTGTTTTTTGAAAGTACTGAAAAGTCAGCTATCGATGCCAAAAAAGTTGGGGTTTGTAGTATTTTGTTCACTTCACTTTATCCAACTGTTATTAGAGCTTGTTCAGCTGTCCAAAACGAAAATTCCAAAAAATAACTCAAACTAGGGTATGTAAAATGCATAGGCTGGATGGTGGCGATTTATTTTAGAAAAAACTTTGAAGGAATTCGAAAATTCTGCATAGACTTTCTAAAGTGTTTGTCTTTCTTTATTCTAAACGATTTGAGGGTAGGTATAAAAACCGGCACAAACTTTCGGACCCACTTATATTTCCTTTTTAATTAATCGCTCTCTCTAATCATTAGCAGCTCGTTTGCTCCACCGATAATCGAACAACATTTAGCTTTCCCTAGCTTTAAATTCATTTTTAAGAGTGGCCATACATCTTGATGAAGCTGCCAAACGGCATTTTCGTTTCGCTACAGTCTCTTACCGTAACGCTCGTGATTGTGCAAGTACTGCCATCTGCCCCCACTGCGGCGAAGAATTACACGTAAGTTTTTCTGCAGTCATTTACAATCCTTCCAAAACAATTAACGAGGATAAAAATGCCATATATTTAACCCTCAAATATTTGAATTTGAAAAAATTGGTACTTTTCCGTTATCCGGACCCATTTTTTCAAAAAGCTCTCATATTATACGTTCTTTAGTCCAAGAATAATTATTCATAGATTCTACGAGGACTGCCTCCTTGCCACGTGTCACGAAAAAATTGACACGTTTTGGTCCATTTTGACAAGTTTTCTTCTAAATCATTTCCAGTGAGATAAAAGAGAATTTGTGGTTATTTCAAAGCTGTTTAAGCCGTTTTACATGAGCACAAAACAATCACGAACCTATTCTAGAAAATCTTTCTTGCTTTTAGCAGTGATTCAAAAATTATTTCTCTTGAAACCCTTTTCGCCATGCGAATTCAGCCAAAAAGACTGTAAATGATAGCTTGAAGTTCTTGCTGCTGGTCATTTCGTCTTGTAAATGACGGAATCCTAGCGCATTTCTCTACCCTCAGCAAGTCTAATCCGTTCATCGATGATAGTATGTCGTCATTATCATGACAATGTTCGCTTTGAAACTGTTTGAACGAAATGAGGTCAAATTATTTAAAAAGCAGATTGAACTTACATCGCAAGCAGGGCCCGGCACGAGGTGGGCAATTGACAAGCTGGAAATCGTTTTTGGGGAAAACGCAGGGGAGAAATCGTTTTTGCGGGGTCCGGGGCGGAGCCCTGGAAGAAGATTCCAAGTGCAAGCAAAAGAAGGTCGAATCATGCTTATTACCTTATACATCTAATTCATTGGGAAGCAGTTTTCTATGCTTCAACGAACAGCGCGCGCTACGCCGCGCCGCCGCTAATTGCCGCGTGCGCGACGTCGCATAAGCGATGCCGTTGAACAGCATGGTTACATGATCAATTCTCAATGCAGGCGTAACGATATAGCACCAAATTAGGTAAGCGAACGAAAAGAGGCTAGTAGAAACAAAGTATGAAATATTATGAAAAACTTATGTGAATGGAGGTGTAACAAGCATTTTTTTTTTCAAAAATTTTGCAAAACTGGTATATGAAGATGTGAATTCAAATGGCTCGTTTGCAGCGCACAGATGACCATACGATATGAAACTTGGTAGGTACATGAACACGGGCCTGCAGGGCTTAACTTACAAGTTTTGTTGAAAAATTATATGACTGAAGGTTGTGGCAAGCTCTTTTCTGAAAAATTTCCCACTATGAAGAACATGAAAAAATGGCTCGTTTGCAACGCAGAGAAAACGTAATCGCGAGAGACGTGGTGTGTATACGCGCAGTAGGACTAAGGAACAATGTATGAAAAATTATGAAAAACCTATGTGAATAAAGAGGTGCTCAACTTTTTTCCAAATTAAGTGGGCATGTTTTCGTGTTTTTTTGTTTTTTTTTCAATCCTGAAGACGATCTTGAGCTCTCATTAGACGATTTTTTGGTTCCCCGCTCAATTAAACAGGATTGTATATCGGACGGCTTGATGGACAGAAGGTTGTGCGCAACAAAGGAACACATATTATTGATTAAATCTAAAAAAATAAATTTTTTTTGTTTCGTTAGTTTATGGAAAGGTTATGAATTTTTGAAACGACTTAGGACGTTTCGGGATCACTGGTGTTAGCTATGTGCATCTGGGTTCGCGCGCATTTACGAGCAGTGGACTAACGTAGGACCAAATATGAACAACTTGCTTTGTAATTTAAGATTTACTTGCTTATTTATATTCTACAATTGGCATCCAAAGGGACCGGTGCTTCAGTGTCTATGTTCTTACATATGATCACGTTCTTTCCTACTGGCTTCTCTTGTTTTTCCATTGTCACATCGCTTGACGTTTAAGCACAGTTCGTCATTGGAGTAGAAAGTGCTTGATCCTGCTGTTCCACGGCTTCCTGGACCAAGGGCGTCTTCACTTCCGTTGAGATGGTGAAGCGATCAGAATGACCGATCAGACGCGGGAAGGGCAATGAATGAAGTCCAACAATCCGCTTAATCATCGAAAATACGGATACAATCACAGCTCAGACCTCTTTTCAAAAAAAAAAATATCTGTGCAGAAATCTTTTTTTTTCCACAAATATGCCCCGTACCCAGCAACACACACGTAGCGATGATTCATCTGTGCAAACGTACTAAACGTTAGCGCGGCCATATCATTTGGCCTCCAACTGAACTGTGGTATTTGCCAATGCACTTTTCTATCGCTTTGTTGTTTTTTTTTTTGTTAGAATGCAAAGCTAGCGCACGAAAGTCAGCTCTTTGCACTTTAGATATGTTTATCTTAATCTCAATTTCCCCGCTCTTGTTTTTGTCTTTTGACCATGTTTTGCATAGCTTTGATACAAGCTTATTTAAGTTGTTTGGACTCAAAAACTGCCGTATTTGGAAGCTATCAATAGGAAAAGTAGCTCACTTGTCAAAAGTAGGAAAGCGCAAGTATTTTCAGCAATCCTTAGACTTTGCCATAGGTTGGCTTGTGAAAATCAATAAGAGCCTTTCTCCCAGTCTTTGCTAACCGTCTGTTGACCAAATTCTTAGTAAGCGCTTTTTTTTGCTGCATGCAGCTCTGACCAAGCGATTCATGACTATCATGGCTAATAATTTCTGAATCCAGTAGCTTTGCATTCGAAGCAACTAGGTATTGCCAACATCAGCAGCTGTAGAGAATCAGAACAAATGCTCGACGAGGTCGCACGAAAGGAGGAGCCTTTTTACAGGTCCTATAGACGAGTTCAATGCAAAAATAGAAACGCTACTGCAAGAGAAATATATTATTGGAAAGTTTCGGTATGGTCTTCGAAACAAAAACAACCACCCGTTGGGCTTCACTCCGCCGCACTTTCATTGAGAAAGAACAACGCCAGTAGATGGAAGTCGCCCAACGGAGATTAAGCACATTCTTACCAAAGGTAAAGCTTGCTCGATGTTGCAGTAGTTTAACCCTTCTACACTGGCTCCAGTCGCTGCCTCCTTAGAGCGAGGCACGATTAATCGAAAGCTGAAAGAGATCTCGTTGCCGCAAGAATGAAAAGCGATGATGACGTCAAGGGCCAAAAGATCTCATATCAAGTCATGACTGGCCTATCGATGAGGACCCAATCTACTAGTAGCTTTTATAATAGGAGGATTGCGAGCCTGCGGGAAGTGCGCTTTAAGGACTTTTGAGAAGACCTTGGAACGCATCGCGAACGTCACCGAGGAAGAGCTCTCAAGAAGAAGATTTTTGAGGCATCTGATGAACCGTCTATAGCAATGATAGCCAGAGGCAGTTGCTGAAATCATGCGGAATGATCCGGAAGTACAGGCAAGCTAAGAGACAAAATAAGACAAGTCTTCAAATATATCGAGGTCATCTTTGTGAATATCACGTACCGCTGACAGCACTACTGAAAGAGGAGGGATCCCAAATCCTTCCTGACTTAAGATGGAATCTATCGCGAAGATTCTTGCACCAAACTCTTCTGCCTATTAACGCCCGTGCCGATGCCGTTTGTTTCCACTGAAAACACCACTACGGATTCTACCTGCTGAAGTGTGCACCGCGATTTAGACATAAAGAGGTCCACGGCTCCAGGACCGGATCATCTTCCCGTTATAATTCTGCGAGTTGGAGGAAACCGTCTACATGAGATTCTCGCATTGCATCTAACGTCTCATCTTCGCAAAGAATCCATAGCCAGTGGTGAACTTCGAAAACAGTTCTTCTTACAAGAAAGGCGAACGAGATGATCCTAGGAACTACCACCTAGTATGCCTGATGAGCTGCTGTTCAAGCTTTTCACCACGATTGACCTGTCCAAAAAGCTGGATGAAGCCCAACCCAGAAACGAGATGGATTTCGCAAAGCAAATAGCTGCATGGATCATATCAAGACTTTCTCGAAGGCATAGAAGGCTGCAGGGAGTCGGGAGTTTCGACTTCTCTCGTCTCAACCCCCGACGACCACGAGAAAGCGTTTGATAGCGTCGAAACCAACGTCGTCCTGCTGCGATAGTGGATCAGTGTGTGGGCCCATCTTAGGCCTCGGGCATACCTCACGCGATTTCAGTCGCGACGCGATTTGGCAATACTCCAAATGTTCATAACTCATCGTGCGGAGTTTCAGAATGCACGGAAGATGGGGCATTCCATCAACCTACGAAAGTTATACATGCTCTGCATCTGGGGTCTACCAGTATTGAATTTGAAGATATCTGGCAAATTGCCAGATCGCGTGGCGACTGAAATCGCGTGAGGTATGTCCCTTGCCTAACGCGTGGTGTATGTGAAGAGACGCGATTCCTATTGTCAGGTGGACACCAAATAGCGCACAAGTTATGAAAGCCTTTCAAATTTTACAGAAAATGTTAAAGATGCATGGGCTAATCTGATCTTTTGGAATAGATTCAAAATATGAATGTTGGAGGTCAAAGGCCCGTGAAGATGCAATTGATGCTAATTTCGTGAGCATTTTGATCAATTTTGCACGAAAAGCCTTTCGAGTTAGTCTGATAAGCTAGAAAATTTGTCTAGAATTCTCAAAAGACAGCATATCGCTAAATTGAGCTGTTGATTTGGTGACCTTTGAAGGAAGCGCGCCTCCTGACCGTCTTTTGCTTATGTGGACATTATCCGACTGCCACAAGGATTGTACAATGACGATGCAGCTATTCCGTTGATCCCTGACTACCCCAGTGAGGAGTTCACTGGACTAGGACGAGATGGGAAATGGGAAGTTTCCCTCAAATCTTCATAAAGCGAACTGTTTTCGAGAAATACTAGGCTGTTTTAAAAGTTCTGTACAATTTGCGATTTTTTCATCTAAAATCCTATAACTTTTTTTCAAAAACAACAATTTCGAGCAAATTAAATCTTGTTGAATCAAGCGAGTTTATGGCTATGGCGAGCACTGTGTGCCATGTAAGGAAGGCAAGCGGGAGAGAAGAGAGGATTTTTTGAATTCTTCAAGGTTTTCTTCAAAATCGTTTAGTTCGACTCACTAACGCTTCTATATGAGGATGGGCAGACATAATTGGCTGCCATCATTAAGCCTATACTTCAGAGATTCTTTTGCGGCTGGAAGGAATTCGGGTTATTTTTGCTGCACAGAAATTTTAGCGAGCGAATAAAAAAAACCAACCATCATTTGAGCCCTCTTCCGCGTGCGAAAATATGCCGACTTTCTAATATTTGATTTCTTCTAGCTGTCGCAAACGAAGAAAGCCAATTGGCCGATGGTCCCTGCTTGCCCCCGCTTTACTATATCATAGGCAATTGAATGCATTACCTGTCGCTAAATGTAAATTGTTGTCGCTTGTTGAATAAGTGGGTTCGTCTTTTTTTCATTAAAAAAATTGAAAAAGTAAGACATTCTCTACGTCAGAGAAAAAGTGTGATGTTAGCCCATCACATCCTCATCCAATATATATTACCAGTGGCGTACCCAGGATTTCGGCTCGGGGGGGGGCGGCAAAAATTTTTTCTAAATGAAGGTGCGTGGCGTCAGCCGCGCACTCCGAAAAAATTTTAGGGGGCTTCTCAAAATTTTTGCGGGCCCCAATCCCTAAAATCTGGAAAAAGGGGGGCGTGGCTTTAGTCATGCCCCCGAAAAAAAATTTTTTATAAGGCTAATTTGAAAAAATTTCAAAAATTATTTCAATTGTTTACAAAAATAAACAAGTCACTTGCACATTTTTATAACCCATGTAAGTAATTTTCAAAAATTTCGCGACCCGTTTTCGGCCCCCCCCCCTCGGTACGCCACTGAATATTACATATTCAGTTTTACGAATACTGCGAATGTTCTCTTTATGGAAACTTTTTCTTAGGCTTGACTGCATTTTGGCAACTTTGCTTCGGGGCTTGAAATTTATCATTGGGAAGTTAGTTCGCCAAGCATCAGTAAGCACTACAAAGAGCAGGAAAAGTATTTAGTTTATGGTAATGCCATGCCATAAGTGCAAACCCCTAAGAAAATAGCCGCGTTAGAACAAGGCAATTGAAAATCGGACAGAACTTTTGAAACAGCTTAATATTATTAGAGCGGAGACGATGATGAAGAAACTCAACGAAGTAATGAAGAAGATTGGATCGCTTCAAGTTGGAAAAAGACTTATTTCATTAAGCTTTTGTGAAGATGCGGAAATGGAAATGGAAGCATTATGTAGGCGCCTTCTTATATGTATCTTGGACGTTTGAATGAACGTGGAGAACGATATGAGAGAGGAACTTAACAGGGGAACAAGAGCAGCCTCAGCTGTTTTCGGGCTTCTGAAGACATCGACCAACTAACGGCTCCACAGATTCGCGGCCCACACGTTCCACTCCACCTCCACCGTCTTCCCGGCACTCTGTGCTACAGCTACCTCGAAACGTACCTACGAAGGCTCTTGAGCGTAAGCCTCTGAAAATACAACGAAGCAAACAACTCTCTCCGGACCTTGCAGTACGTTTACAAAGAATGTTTTGTTTTGTGATGGAGCGAAACAAGTGGCGAGAGCGAAACATCGATGGGCCATCATAAGAACACATCATAAGAACAGATGACGGACACTAACGCATCTATGACTAGGCCTATCGATTTCTGCCGTTTCGGGCCATGAAACACCGGTGTCTACTTCTTCGGTCTTATTTTTCAATCACGTTTTCTGCGTTTTTCTTTTTTTTTTTTTGAAAAACGCATTGTCAAACATTGGTGGAAGACGAGTGGCCTAGTGGTATGAGGCGCCGCTATGACCAGTACGGACCCAGGTTCGATCCCGTCCCTGAGCCAATCAAGCTCTTTACACTCCAGGGCCTGTAAATTGGAACCACGGTAAGCTGGGAGTATAAAAACACTAGGTAATCGGTTGGCCCCGCAAGTCATATACTCGCATGCACATAGCCTCCTAGACTATAAAGTAGAGTGTGGCTGCTCTCAGAGGGTCGAATCTATCATCCGGAAGCTACTTATCGTCTAAATCTTTCAGAATCTGTCAAGAAGTTATCTAGCATCTCTGAAAACTGCTTAAAGGCACTGTCCACCCTAAGTTGAGGGTGCCGAGCTTTTGGCAAAAACAGTGGGGCCTCCTATCAAGCCAATGCCCAAGGCTGCGCAAAATGCCGCTTCGGAAGCGAGAAGATCGCTTTGGAATAGCGAAGATGCGCGAGGACCCCATCCATGCCCGTCCTCCCCATCCATGCCCGCCCATTCGTGCGCGCTCATCCAATCACCGTTCTGGAAAGCCGGTTCTGGGTTCTCCGGAATGGATATTTTCGGGATTTTCGCGGATTCTCGACTTCATATTTGGAATCAGGAACATAAGAAAGGCCCTGAAACGACAAAACATGGAAGTCGAAAATCTGGATGGACGGTGCCTTTAAAGTCCATCTAATTGTATTAAAGAAAAAGTCAGAACCGTTATAGCATGCTGTCGAAGCAGGAGACTGATTTTGGACTCGCTTTGCTTCGTCAAATTCCTTCCAGTGAGAATGCGGTTGTCTCTCCACTCTCAGTACTGTTTGCGTTGTTAATGGTTCAAAATGGTGCCAAAGGAAAAACAAAAGAACAGATCGATAGCATAGTTTTTAAAGGTGATTAATTCAGCTGGAGTAGACGTATCGTTAATAGGATATAATTATTCTTTCAGGTCAACCTGACCACGTAATAACATCATACTATTCCAATTTCATTCAAGAACTTTCTAGGGAGACAAAAGTGCTAACTAAAATAGCAAATGGATTTTTCCTCAAGTAAGCGATTCATTGTACTACCCCTATCTTCAGTCCAGGTTTCATAATGTTTCAGCAAGCTACATAAACTAAGGAAAGAATATCAAGAGACCATTACCCAAAAGTTTATGGCGAGAATTGAAAGCCTTGATTTTGGCAAAGCAGATGAGACTGCAAAGGTGAGCGTCCTAGATGTACATTTGAAAGTTTATTTTGTCGGAACGTACGACGATATTTTTTTGAAAATCAATGAGGAAACATAGTGACGAAAATGTTGCACTATGCTACAGATTTTCCTTACTGAGACGAGTCGAATTTTTATCTAATGAGCACCTCTTGATCTCCCATTACTGGTAAACAAAAAAAAATAACAAAATGGAAATTTTAGAAATGCAGAGAATCTGAGCAGTCACAGCTTTTGTGGTTAACATTAGGCTAATTTGGTGCTTCATTATAAAGGATTGTAAAATTGTTCCGACTGAATTTCTACTTCAAAAAAGGATAGTATTCCTCTTCGCCAACATTTGAGTTCACTGTGGTCGACAGGAAACAACGGGGATCTGGCGACCCAATCCGACATGTAATGTAGATATATAAAAAATTTTAAAAAAGTATAATTGTGTTCAACAATCATTCATCGCAGTTCAACCCATCGTTTTTAGCATTTTCTCCTCTTTTAGCGGTGCTTAGCGAAAACGCTTCAGTCTGTAATCTTTCAATTTGAAAAAAAAAACTGGAAAACTAGCCTAATTATGACAATGAGAGCAACTTGTTTGCTCAAGTTCTAGTGCATATGAAAAGCAGCCCTAGAAGTTTCGTTTTTTTTTGTGAGCAGTAAAGGGGATGAAGAAGTGCATATTGAATAAAGTACATATTGTTACAATACATGCATTGTAATATTTTAGTAAGCTGGTTTCTCACCTAATTAATTTATGCCCACATGTTTAAAGAAACGTTACAGATCATCAACGATTTTGTAAACGAAACCACTGAGGGTAAAATCACTGATCTTGTCAACGAAGCTGCTCTCACAAGTACACTGTAATTATACCGTAACAATCTGTCGAACTGAGCAGACAATATTTTCAGACGCTTTCGCCGTAATTGTCAATGCTGTTTACTTCAAAGGAGACTGGTACTATAAATTCAAAGCAGCAAACAGCATGCCGATGGATTTCCACAGCTCGGAAAACAACACAAGAAGGGTAAGTTTTTTGACATCAAGGAGTAGTTTGGAGCAAAGAATTTTTAGATTGATTTTATGAACGAATACGAAGTGCGCAGAGATTATACAGAAGATGATGAGGTTCAGTTCCTTTCACTGCATTATAAAAACACCGACTGGGCATTTAGCATAATCCTGCCGAAGAACAAGTAAGGACGATTCAAATATTCTGTACTCCACTGATAAAAGAGAATCAAATTTTCAAATTTAATTTCTAAAGTACCTGAAGTTCAATGGCAAATCTGGGTGGCTTCTTGATTGATGAATTATTTCAGCAGACTCTAATCCCTTCCAAAGCTATCGCAAGCAACGCAAAGCCACAAAAAACAGATTTTTAAGGGATGAAAATCCTTTGAATACTCGAAATCTAAATTTTTGAATTATCAGGTTAGCCTCTGCTCTCCAGGCAATATTCTAAATTTTTTAACTCTCAGAAATTGTCATGAAGTATGAACACAGCAGTTATTTGCTCAATTTTTTCCATCTATTCTTCAAAAAAAATTTTGCCGTTGAAACCCGCGTACTACAGCTCATAAATTACACTTTTTAAGGTACTGTTTAAGTTGATTCATTCTCGAATACACGTTTCAAATAATGTGTAAAATATTCCATAATGAAAAATTTTGTTCAGGTTTGCCCTTGAAGAATTCAGACAAAGTTTGGATGGTGAAAAAGTGAAAAAATTACTGACCAGCACTGCGAAAACTTACGTATCGGTAATTTTTCGCCTTTCAAATTTATCTATTTTTTGAATGCTTATTTTTGCTTTTGAAAGAATAAACCGAGAGCAGTAATTCGGAAAAAAACTAATATCTTACTTACAGATAGCTATTCCAAAAATGAAAATTGAAACGGATTTCAAACTAAAAGAGGCTCTGATTTCTATGGGAATCACCGAGATGTTCAGCGATGACGCTGATCTCAGCGGAATCTCTGAAACAGGTGGTTTGAAAATCTCAAAAGCACTGCACAAGGCAATGATTGAGGTTGGCAAAATACTGATTGATTTACTCCTACTTTTTACCGTATACTGTAGCCACTGTAGGTGGATGAAGAAGGAACCACTGCCGCAGCAGCCACAGCTCTCGTTGCAGATAATATGGCATTCATTCAGAGGGAAGAGCCAAAGGAATTCATTGCTGATCATCCTTTCTTGTTTATGCTTTCCAAAAATTCGAACCCATTATTTATTGGACAATTTGTTTGAAAATACTGGTCGTTCGTTTCCTAAGTGCTCATAAATGTTTCTGTCTGCTGAATGAGTACCAAATCTTCATGTAGAAACATAAAATACTTGAAACAGATAAGTGCTGTTTGAATTTAGTCATGATTGACGAACAACTTGCTTTTACCTTCAAATAACTGAAATATTTTTGGAAATGTTCCATTCATTTAGATTAGATTGTAGAAGCAAATTTTTCGGAGGCGTGGCATTCGCCATGGCCATTTTTCTAAAATTTTTGAGTTACGACGGGGAAAATCTGGGAAACTTCTAAGGAAATTTCCTAACAGCATCGCAATATGCAACATATCCTTCCCCCTCCCCCCCCCCCCGAATTTTTTAGAAGATTTCGCGGGAAAACGGTCATTGCGGATGCGATTGGCCAAAGTTGCGCATTATTCTACCAGACTTTTGTCTGGTCGTGTGCAAAGTGGTTGTGTGTAAAAGTCTTGTGAAATGTCTTTTCCTATATATGGATTTATGGCCCCTAAATATTTGCCAATGAAGACGGCAGATGATTAGATCCGCAACTTTCGCGAGTTTGATGCTCATAAAATACAAATAGAAAGCTTTTTCTAGCACCTACAGGTTTCACTTATTGAACGACGATGGAATACACGGTGTTCCGAAAGTTCTCTTCGCATGAAATCTTTTGCCGAACTCTTGGTAATATTCTGTAGGGCTAGCTTTAACATAGATTTAACTTACAGTACGTAGTGAAACACGTAGTAACTCTCAGCATAGAGCATTATCATGAAATGGCTGTCATTTGGAAAAATTTCCGTAAAAATCTTAAACTTGTGCAGCAGAATTTTCACACACTCATTCCATTACTAAACTTATTGCGAGCTAGAGAAGCTTTTTAAATGGCCCCACCGGTGGGTCGTAAGTGTTCTGGCATTTCGGACAATACGACCCACCGGTGGGTCGTAAGAGTCCTGAAGCTCTAGCCTGGCCAGTATACAATGATTCCACGGGGTTCTGGCACGTTATTGGGGACATTCTGGCGAAGCTCCAGCCAGGGTGGTCCGGGTTCGGGATACTGTAATGTAATGTTACGGCAGGTATACCGTACATAGAGGTAAGGCACAGACTTTATAAATTTCTCGCAGAGCCGTGCTGTTTTTGAAAATTCAAGTTTACACGAGGAATGCAGGGAGAGTACGAGACTTTTGTCAGCCCATCAAAAATTTCGATTTTATTGATTTTATTGATTTTTCGCATTGTTCATCCCAGGAAGCTCAAACCTTACATATGTAGGTTTTTTAGCGTGCTGATTACGAAAATGATGGTCTCAAATTCTAATACCGGCTTCTTACATCAGTTTCTTGCTTCTTACGAAAATTCTACCGTACTACTACCGTAGTCACACTGTGGGAAAGTAGTGAACAAAGTCTACAGTTGTGGTCACCAATAAACCCCAAAACACAATTTTTTCATGAAAATCCATAGTGTTGGGTCCGTACAGGATGACTACAGTAACCTTACCATATACTGCCAGAGACTAAAATAAATCATATTTTGGTAGTCGCGCCTTCGACAACCTTTGTGGGGAAATTCCCGGAGACATGTTTTGAATTTCTTCCAAAAAGACTTTCATTTCGGACAATACGACCCACGGGTGGGTCGTAAGCTTGACAAAGCGAAAAAGGCTCTGGTCCGAAACGGCAGTAGCCGAAAAATCGGCCTTGTCGTGAATGTGTTGATACTGCATTCTTAACGGCGCATAATGTACACTCAGCCTTGTTACGACGTTGCAACTATCAGAAAATGTCACCGTTGCTACTGCTAAGAATTTTTTTTGCATCTCACTATTGAACAGTGAGTCAACTTCTAAGGAAACAATGTGGAGAATTTTCTTGAAAAAAGGTGATGTTGTCAAGACGACCAGCACAAAAGTGCAATGAGTATTTTTTAAGAAAGAGCGTTCGCTACGGCTTCTAATTGAATCGTTAGGCTACTGTTGCTACTATAAAAAAAGTATGAGAAAGTCACCCACCATAGTTTGAATTGTACAAAAACCTTATATCCGCACCTTTTTATTGAATTTTAGTTGGATTTGGATCAGTATTTCAAGTTTTAATTCTTTAACAACAGTTTTTAAATATGATTTGCAGATCTCAGATTTCTGCACTTCACCAAAAGAGTAAGTATTGTCAACAAGTTCGTTTTGAGAGATGTTTTCAAGCAACTGACATTCATTCATGCTAAAAAAAGCTTTTTCAGTTCCGAGATCTCCTCAGAGAAGTTTTCCAGAAACAACAAATAATAATCCAAATAAAAAGCAATTCGCAGTCTTATAATCCCATAGTCTTATGCGAGTTGAGGCAAGCATAAGAGCAGCAGCAGATTAGGCCCTTTAACTTCCTCCAGTTTTCGAAATCGTTCAAAGTACGTATCATTATCAACACAAGCATGAATCATCGTCTTTCCATATTTGCACAGATTTTAACACCTTATCGCCAATGTGTCGATTTTTCGGTCTTCGCTGGGTCTTATAAATAAAAGTCTCTGAAAACCCTGATTTTAATACGTGGTGATTTATTTGATGTTCTAAATTCTCCTAAGCATGTATGCTACAAATAGATTACTCTAATGATGATTATCCTTCCGTAATTCCCAAATACTTGCTTTCAGATATACTTCACAACGCAAAAAAATTATAAACTCTGTACTCGACAAGGATGGTAGCTGATGTAAAGTGAGAGAAAACTTCAATCTCATACATAGTTAGCATATAACAATATTTCAGCTCATTTTTGACGGCTGAGACAGATTTTGGACTCGACATGCTTCGCAAATTATCTTTGAATGAATCCAACGTCGTTTCTCCTCTGTCCGTCATATTTGCTCTGAATATTGTACAACCAGGAGCCAAGGGAAAGACTAAAACTCAGATTACTGAAGCAATTTCGAAAGGTAGGGTTCTTGCTCAGTTTGTTTGTAAGTGGCGCTCAAAAACCGCTTTTTGAAGTCTAATTTGCACAGGATCAACGGATAACGACACAATTGAATACTATTCCAATCTTATGCAACAGATTTTGAACGCAACGAACGATGTACAAAGCAAAATTGCTAACGCATTCTTTGTAAGGTAATCCGGCAGCATTCTCTTCAAAGGCAGTGTCCAGGTAAATTCGGTCGCATGGGTATTTCGCCTGGAAATCGATGAGGGGGTCCTAACTAAGGCACTGAAGGGGCAGCGCAAATTGTTCATTTACGGCTAAGAAATCCGTCCCTAAAAACCCCGCGGCTGCGCCGTGACCGTAACCCAAAAATCAACTTTGCTCACTTTAACATTACGTTCGCGCTGGGACCCATCCTAAGTGTTACGTTCACGGCGCAGCCGCGGGGTGTTTATAGATGGAATTTGTCAGCCGTATGAATTTTTTGCGCTGAAGTTTGGTCTGTGCTTTAGCTAGAACCTTCTCGACAGTTTCCAGGCAAAAACCCATATGCCCAGATTTGCCTGGACACTGCCTTTAACAATCAACAGTTGTGAAGACGGCCGCAAAAAGTTTAACACATGTAAAGTTTGGAAGAAACGCCCGAAAAAGTGTTCAAAATTCGAAACTTTGTCTAAAAAGATCTGCGAAGTTCCAATTTGGTTACGCATATACTATAGACATTATATAATGTACACATTTACACATTTTACATTTAATACTTATGTACGCTTACCGTGCTCTTCTGGTCACTAAAAATCAATGAATAAATGTAGGCTAAGAATACAAATTGTCGCATTCTTTTGATTTTTGATTAAAGTTCATATTTCCCTACAACTACCGCTTCAAAAGGGTTGGAATTTCATTGCCATACTTGCAAAGACTTGTGTTATAGATTCACTCATGCCTAAACACTCCAACATTACTTTTGCTAGAGCATGCCTGTTTTCATTTTCTCAACTTAGCCATAAAAAAATATACAAATGTACTTAAGTAAAATAGTAGTGTTAAAAGCCTTTTTGGAATTGAAGTTTTGTAGTTTCTATGGATATAAATCGATTTTTAAGCACATACAATTTTCTATATTTTCAAAAAGCTTTTTGCGGTTGTTCAAACATCATTTTATAGAGCTTGCTTAGCTCTAATGAATGATATGTTTTACATATTTTTATATCTTTTCTGGGTAAAGGAAGAAACGTGCATTCTTCGAACACTTTACACTTGCTGTACTACTTATGAAAAGCATTTCAGGAATGGTGTCGAGATCAAAGACGATTACGCCGATAAAATTACCAAAAAGTTTTGCGCAAAGCTCGAATGTCGTGATTTCAACCAAGCACATGAAACGGCTAAGGTAATAATTGCTAATGAACCTTGGTAAGGAGACTGTCTATTTCTGTTTGTCTGTATATTATAATTCCTGCATAAGGTCATAAATGACTTCGTGAATGAAAGTACAGCAGGGAAAATCAAAGAGATCGTCAAGGCTAATGCTATACAAGGTAGTATTACGTTTTCTAATGCTTGTAATCATAACTTTTAATCTATATAACCTTTGGTTCAACTGGCTTGGCGGCTGGAAGGCGTGGCTTTGTGACCTAAATTATGATGCTCGCGCCCGCGACGCAGTCTTCGTATCTTCCGCGCGCGTGCTCTCTGATCATTACCTAGCCTTGATAGATCACGAAGCCCCGCCTTCCAGCCGGCAAGCCAGTTGAAACATAGGGTACTTCAGGCGCAATTTCTATCATCATCAATGCCATATACTTCAAAGCGGAATGGGATGTCAAATTTAGAAATTGTTACAATAGCACTGGCAAGTTCTATAGCGCGCCAGACAGGGAACGCGAGGTCAAGATTTTGAGAGAAGCATTGATTTGGCTCAATATTACACCTTTCAGGTGGAATACATGAGACAATCAAATACTCACAGGCTTTACGCAGAAGACGACGATGCACAGGTGCTGTCTCTGCTCTACAAAGACAAGACATACGCCTTCAACATAATTTTGCCCAAAAACAGGTACGGGCGTATTGGCTATGCGGTTCGAAGTTATTTTTTGTACCTTGGTGAGAAAAATAGACTTTCAACTAACTCCGAGCTTTTATGTACCTAACCCTTGATTCCCAAATAAACTCTTGACTCTTTTTGCTATAATTGGAACCACAAATGAAAAGACCTTTTTGTTGATATAAGTTGGTCTTGTAGTGAAATGACGTTTTAACTGTGTTGCAAATTTGAACGCAAAACGTATTCGTATGAATCTTCGATTGCACCATTTGATTCAACAGGCTTGGCTTCGGGAAGGCGGGGCTTCGTAAGCTAATTAAGGCTAGGCAATGATCAGAGCACTCGCGCGAGAGAGACGCAGGTGCGTCGCGGGCGCGGGCCTTAATTAGGCCACAGAGCTCCGCCTTCTCGAAGCCAAGCCAATTGAATCAAAGGTTACTTGCTTGGCGGATGGAAGGCGGGGCTTTGTGGGCTGATTAAGGCTCGCGCCCGCGACGCGTCCGCGTCCCTCCCGCGCGTGCTCTTTGGTCATTACCTAGCCTTAATTGGGTTACGAAGCCCCACCTTCCAGCCGCCAAGCCAGGTAAATAAAAGGGTACTTTTTCTTTCTTTTGCTATTTATGTGATCTATTGATGCTCCAGTGTGAATTTCAACGGTGACGCAATCATGCAAATACTGTACGTATTTTCTGTAAGCAAATGCCTCTATTGCAGGTTTGGCCTTGAGGAACTCGTCAAAAATTGGAGTGGAGAAAGAGTACAAAATCTATTAACAAAATTAAAGGACACGTTCATTACGGTAAAAAGCAGCGAGGAAACGCATACGCAAAACTACATCTAAAAAATTGTATTACTTTAGGTCGTCATTCCAAAAATGAAGATTGAGACGGATTTCGAGCTGAAAGAAGCGTTGCTCAACATGGGCATAGAGGATATGTTCAGTGATGCTGCTGATCTGAGCGGCATTTCGAGCATTCCTCTAAGAGTCTCAAGCGCAATACACAAGGCACTTATTGAGGTACATTTGTTCAACATTAGAGCCTGCTCTATAAATAACTAGTTGACTTACCCGGCTCCGCCCGGCCCTGTCGTTATTAAATTCGTAATCAGCATGCTCGATTACCCCCCTGTGCCAACTCCCAGCCCAGTAGCTCAAATTTTGCAAAAAATCGATAAAATCGATACCGATCGATGACGAAAAGTGGCCTAGACACCCGCCGGGGCCCGATGTGTATGTGTGCCAAGTTTGGTCCGGATCGGTTCAGAAATGGAATTTTCTATTCGGAAGTACAGACAGACAGACAGACAGACAGACAGACAGACAGACAGACAGACAGACAGACAGACAGACAGACAGACAGACAGACAGACAGACAGACAGACAGACAGACAGACAGACAGACAGACAGACAGACAGACAGACAGACAGACAGACAGACAGACAGACAGACAGACAGACAGACAGACAGACAGACAGACAGACAGACAGACAGACAGACAGACAGACAGACAGACAGACAGACAGACAGACAGACAGACAGACAGACAGACAGACAGACAGACAGACAGACAGACAGACAGACAGACAGACAGACAGACAGACAGACAGACAGACAGACAGACAGACAGACAGACAGACAGACAGACAGACAGACAGACAGACAGACAGACAGACAGACAGACAGACAGACAGACAGACAGACAGACAGACAGACAGACAGACAGACAGACAGACAGACAGACAGACAGACAGACAGACAGACAGACAGACAGACAGACAGACAGACAGACAGACAGACAGACAGACAGACAGACAGACAGACAGACAGACAGACAGACAGACAGACAGACAGACAGACAGACAGACAGACAGACAGACAGACAGACAGACAGACAGACAGACAGACAGACAGACAGACAGACAGACAGACAGACAGACAGACAGACAGACAGACAGACAGACAGACAGACAGACAGACAGACAGACAGACAGACAGACAGACAGACAGACAGACAGACAGACAGACAGACAGACAGACAGACAGACAGACAGACAGACAGACAGACAGACAGACAGACAGACAGACAGACAGACAGACAGACAGACAGACAGACAGACAGACAGACAGACAGACAGACAGACAGACAGACAGACAGACAGACAGACAGACAGACAGACAGACAGACAGACAGACAGACAGACAGACAGACAGACAGACAGACAGACAGACAGACAGACAGACAGACAGACAGACAGACAGACAGACAGACAGACAGACAGACAGACAGACAGACAGACAGACAGACAGACAGACAGACAGACAGACAGACAGACAGACAGACAGACAGACAGACAGACAGACAGACAGACAGACAGACAGACAGACAGACAGACAGACAGACAGACAGACAGACAGACAGACAGACAGACAGACAGACAGACAGACAGACAGACAGACAGACAGACAGACAGACAGACAGACAGACAGACAGACAGACAGACAGACAGACAGACAGACAGACAGACAGACAGACAGACAGACAGACAGACAGACAGACAGACAGACAGACAGACAGACAGACAGACAGACAGACAGACAGACAGACAGACAGACAGACAGACAGACAGACAGACAGACAGACAGACAGACAGACAGACAGACAGACAGACAGACAGACAGACAGACAGACAGACAGACAGACAGACAGACAGACAGACAGACAGACAGACAGACAGACAGACAGACAGACAGACAGACAGACAGACAGACAGACAGACAGACAGACAGACAGACAGACAGACAGACAGACAGACAGACAGACAGACAGACAGACAGACAGACAGACAGACAGACAGACAGACAGACAGACAGACAGACAGACAGACAGACAGACAGACAGACAGACAGACAGACAGACAGACAGACAGACAGACAGACAGACAGACAGACAGACAGACAGACAGACAGACAGACAGACAGACAGACAGACAGACAGACAGACAGACAGACAGACAGACAGACAGACAGACAGACAGACAGACAGACAGACAGACAGACAGACAGACAGACAGACAGACAGACAGACAGACAGACAGACAGACAGACAGACAGACAGACAGACAGACAGACAGACAGACAGACAGACAGACAGACAGACAGACAGACAGACAGACAGACAGACAGACAGACAGACAGACAGACAGACAGACAGACAGACAGACAGACAGACAGACAGACAGACAGACAGACAGACAGACAGACAGACAGACAGACAGACAGACAGACAGACAGACAGACAGACAGACAGACAGACAGACAGACAGACAGACAGACAGACAGACAGACAGACAGACAGACAGACAGACAGACAGACAGACAGACAGACAGACAGACAGACAGACAGACAGACAGACAGACAGACAGACAGACAGACAGACAGACAGACAGACAGACAGACAGACAGACAGACAGACAGACAGACAGACAGACAGACAGACAGACAGACAGACAGACAGACAGACAGACAGACAGACAGACAGACAGACAGACAGACAGACAGACAGACAGACAGACAGACAGACAGACAGACAGACAGACAGACAGACAGACAGACAGACAGACAGACAGACAGACAGACAGACAGACAGACAGACAGACAGACAGACAGACAGACAGACAGACAGACAGACAGACAGACAGACAGACAGACAGACAGACAGACAGACAGACAGACAGACAGACAGACAGACAGACAGACAGACAGACAGACAGACAGACAGACAGACAGACAGACAGACAGACAGACAGACAGACAGACAGACAGACAGACAGACAGACAGACAGACAGACAGACAGACAGACAGACAGACAGACAGACAGACAGACAGACAGACAGACAGACAGACATACAAACAGACATTCAGCTTTATATATAAGATGACTACACGGAATCACCCAGGCTGAAGCCCTCCCTTGCGGGCCAACACCGGAATTCTGCGCATGAGTCAACATAGCGACCGTACTCGGCAGCCGCGTTGCAGGCACGCTTGCGTGCGTTAAGCCTACAGCGATATGGGCGATTTCGTGTAGTCGACTTTACACGTTGTTCTACCATTAGCATTGAGACCAAAAAGTTGTCTCAGGTTTTCTTCAACACGTTGACGGCCAAGCAATTTTGGGCGAAACTTCCACCAACTTTTCTCGCGCAACTGGTCCCGTGCATACGCGCGTATGCACGAAATCATACTGTAGGAGTCTTTTTGACGCTTGTTCATGAAGCGTGGGAAGTCTTCTCAGAATTACATGTATTTCACAAAGTCATATCAAGGTTACGCATATCAAGGTTTTTGCAAAGTTTTCCTCTCATGAACTATGCAATTGCTGAGTTTGGGAAATTCTCCTGAAAATTTCGTTATAATACTAGGTGTTTTTTGCCTGATTTCACCTCTTGTTTGGCTTTCGGAACAGCTATACAGAGTTTTCGCCTTCTTAGGAAAACATAATTAACATACTTTACCCCATCAGAAACGGAATGAATACCTAAGTTTCCTGTCTAAACTCTTAAAAAGCTACCGCGATGGTCTGTGTTCTCTATGACAACCAGGCCGCCAGTAATATTACTGCATAGAAGTTACCTCAGAAGTTTTCGATTGTACCCGAAAAACAGGTGTGCATACGTACGTATGCACGAAAATCCCAAAACGGAAGGCGAAACGTGCATACGGGCGTATGCACGCCTGTTTTTCGGGTACAATCAAAACGGTACGGTTGTTAGCGTGTTTATGAAGTCGGCAATCAGACATGATAGGTTTTCAGGTGGATGAAGAAGGCACCACTGCCGCAGCCGTCACGGCTATGATGATGTTTGGAGCAGCTCCAAGAACAGCCGAACCTGTGCAGTTCATTGCTGACCATCCATTTTTGTTCATTCTTACTAAAGATAACAATCCGCTATTCATGGGTGTTTTTGTATAAATGATTGCTTTGTGTTGATGATTTTTTATAAAACGAAGCAAAGACGCAGATGCATGGAAAAACATTACTGTGATTGATCTAAATTTTCATGGCTCTTACAGGTTGTAAGCATGAGAAGACTTCCCCTTCTTTAGAAGTATTAGGTTGCACCGAAAGTTCGTTCATTGTAACTCTTTCCTACCTTGATAATATTGCTGAAATAATTACTTTTGGAAAAGTAAACCTTGTATTCCCCATCCAAACTTCGGTGATTGCAAGCTCATTAAAAATTTAGAATGCAAGAAAATTTAAAATAGTTGGTATTATAGGTCTTAGGAGATGCTGTTTCTGAATGCAAAATTTGCGTAGATCGAACTTATCTATGAAAAGTTATAATTTTTGAGAAAAATAAAAACAGCAGAAAACGGAAAAATTGATTTTTTTCTCAAGACCCATGAATTTCCAAAAATAAGCTCGACTAGTACAAGCTTTAAATGTTAGAAAGAAGAGGTTCCATAACCTATAATGTCAGTCCAAAGTTCTGTCGTTATATTTTCAAAAATTTGTGACTTTTCGCTGTCTTAAAGGATTTGCTTGTTTCTGATCTTATTGGAAAGAAGAAGTCTTCCACTTGGTGAGCTCATCTTGAATGGCTCCTACTATAAACTCATTGCTAAGATGAAAATAAAAAAAAGAAGACCTTTCAAGCTTTGATCATATTAAGTTGAGTCGCCAAAAATCTGGAACGTTGCGGAAAATTCTGAAATCGTCAACGCATCAGTTCTATGACCTACTCTTCTGTTTGGACGCTTCCGCGAAAAGTTTTGGTTTTTGAGAAAAGTGACACAGTCGATTTTGGAGTTTTCTCTTGTGAACTCGAGATTCACAACTTTTCACAGAGCTACCAAACAGCACATTTTCTGTTCCAACGAGCAGGTTAAGTCTTTTTCATTGACGATTTGGCGACTTAATTTGAAGTGACCAAAGCCGGATGGTCCCCTTTTTCCATTTTTATCTCTGCAATGAATGCATAGTAGGAACGTTCAAGATGAATTCACAGAAAGGAATACTTCTTCTTTCCAAGAAAATTACAAGGAAGTAAATCCGTCATGATAACGAAAAATTTCCAATTTTTAAAAACTAAACGACGTACTTTGGAACAACATAATACTGACTATTTTGAAGTTTCTTGCTGTTTCTAGCATTTTTGCTTGGCCTGCTTAATCATAGCAGATAAATCTCATTCCTTCATTTTACCTCTGCAGCCAGAACTCAATAGGGGAACTTACGAGTTACCTTTTCTAAGTATGAAGTTTACTTTTTTAAAAGTATTTATCAATATTCTTCGGAAAGGAAAGAGGTATGTTTTTGAAGATTGTGCGAATAAACTTTCGTTCCAAATCGATATGAATAATCATTCTGCAATTCTGTTTGCATTCGCTTTTTTGAGATCTGTTCTTGCAGCCCAGTCACAGTACTCAAAGCATATTTATGAATGCCTTCGAAATAAAGATGCCACATCTATGAAGCAAATTTTGTCATTTTGCACAAGACGACTCAAGTGAGCAACTTACACAATACGAACAAAATTCATCGTTGTCGAATGGTACAAGCAAAATTATACACAAAGTGCAGCATAAAAATTGGATGAACCATGTACGTAACAAACGACATTGAATAAGTAGAATAGCGTGTTTTTGAGAAATAACTGTAGTTTAAGTAAATGAGAGATAAAGCCTTACAAATTAAAATTATGCGGTCATGGGTATAAAAATAGAAGACTGACAGTATTCTCACGTTCCTAAGTAGGAGTTATGAGCGGAGACGATAAAAAATGGAAGCCAAATACAAATTAGGTGGCCAGAGATTTTGAAGTTGCAGACAACAATCCAGAAAACAACAAAACGTGTCAACAGAACAAATAGCAATTGTACTGATAAACAATTTGTCTCAAACTGGTGATGCTGAAGCCATTCCACACGCCTAAATATTGTATCGTACGCAAATTTACCATGTACGTACAGTAGTGATATAGTAGCTGCTTACCCTGCATGATCATCACACAAAGTGCATTCCAGGATAATTTTCGTGCGCAGATAAACGACGCTCTATTTCAATCTTTTTTAACGAACTCCCATCCATAGTATCTGGGAACTGATCGAATGCCCCCTCACTGAAAAAATTCAAAGTATTTGAAGACTATGCTAAGTGCCTTCACTATTTGAAGATAGCAACATAGAGTTATTTTGGATGTTTGTTAACAAAAGGTCTCCAGCAAGTGTTCTGCGAATACATCTCTAACTTTTTGTTACGACAAACAACAATGTTTACGCAACCTTATTTGCTCTGAGAAGTGTATTGATATGAAAATTTAGAAAGCTTAGGCTTTCGAGAAGGAGAAGAACAATAACTGCACTTTTTTTGTAGTAGTGTCGTTTACAAGTACGCTGCGGTCATACCCCAACTGAGTACTCGAAAAGCAAAATAATTGCCATGTGCATTTGCAAAAGTCGGGTTCTAACGCTGACATGAAGCTAAAGAGCCGGGCATACATCACGCGACTTTCACCGTCGATTCTCCCAGAAAACAGTTGTTACCAAATTATTGCATGCTGATTTTTCGACCTGACTAATCGCGACTAACTTCACAGGCGAAATGCAAGTTGATGGGCATGCAACGGACTCGTACCAGTTGTTTTGTTAGGAGAATCGCGAGGCGATGAAATCGTTTGGTGTACCCTTTGCTTTAACCAAACCGGCCGCCGAAAGGCAGGGTTTCATGACCTAGGAGGCGACTGCTCGCGTCCGACGCAGTCTGCGCCTTCCTCGCGAATATGCTCTCTGATTGTTCTAGCCCTAATGAAGCTACGGATCCCCGCCCTTTAGCCGCCGATCTGATTGGAGCAAAAGGTATTTAACCACAGACAAGATAAGGAGTCTGGCCTCCTTATATAGCTTGTGGTTGAGCGGCAATGTGTTTAATTGTTTTGATGATCAATTGCTATACATCGATTTGGAATGATTTGTAAAGGCGATTGACGTGAAGGAGAGATAACTAGCAAGGGAAGGATAATCAGATCGCAGGGACGAAACAAGATGATATGCATATAATTAGGTGCGTCCTGATGAGCTGATTTCAAGTCTAGCTTCCATATAGTTGAACTGTTCTCTAAAAGATGTGAGCATGTGAATGTCTAAATTTGGCAAACATTCAGTGCTACATCTTACAACTAGACTTCTTGTCCAAAAGCACTTATTTATAACTAGCTGGCAAACCCGGCTCCGCCTGGGCCTGTCAATAATATATTTGTAATCAGCATGCTCGATTACCCTTCTGTGCCAACTCCCAGCCACGTAGCTCAAATTTTGCAAAAAATCGATAAAATCGATATCGATCGATACGAAAAGTAGCCTATGACACGCTCCCCGCCCCAAAGTGTATATGTGCCAAGTTTGGTCCCGATCGGTTCAGAAATGGAATTTTCTATTCGGAACATACGTACATACAGACATACATATCGTCGAGTCATTTGTAACTCAATATGTGTAGTGCACACTCTACACGCTAACTGACGAACTGCAAAACTAAAACATGCTCATTTCCTGCAATTTCTCCGTCTTTCCTTATTCCTCTTGCTTTCATTGGTTACACGCTAGTTAATAGAACACATTTCTGCACTTTGTTGGGCTAGAAAGTGTTTTACTGGAAAGTTACTAGTATGGGTGCCGTCGCTAATAGGGCTTAGTGTGCAGTCTCACACATTATGTTACAAATGACTCGAGGTTACAAACAGACGTTCAGCTTTGTACAGGATGTCCCAAAAAATGTATCGAACGTTTGATCGTTAATATCTCTCTTCTAAAGAAATCTTTCCCCTTGCTTCAGGTACCAATCTGTAGAGCTGGCTTCAACTTAGATTTGCATTATAGAACGAATCATTCATCTCTCTTCATTACCGTAGAATTACTTAAAAACTAGAAACTTCAAAGAGGGTTTTAAGGCAATGAAAGGCCATATTTTGCCCGAAAGGAAACAAAACAACTTGAAAACTTTTACACTAGGCTAATTAGAGTTGCTGATTATAACTGTGAAGTTCCCACTTTATTATGATGCTTTATGAAGAGTTATGCCGGTAAGAGGTAGCGGCCATTTTTCAATGTTCCTAAAAAGTGCGGTAACACCGTTTAGAAAGCTTCGTAATCTTGTGAATGGTTGAGTATTGAACTCAGCGTCCATAAAAACCCTATTACACAAGTTTTCACATTTTTTTTTGAAAATATTTGAAACGACAGCTTTTTCCACATTGACACCATATGTTTCAAGTTTCTACCGTAATCCTACAATAATGAAGAGAGATGGGTGATTCGTTCTATAATGCAAATCTAAGTTGAAGCCAGCTCTACAAAACGGTACCTGAAGCAAGGCAAAGGCCTTTTACGAAGAGAGATATTAACGATCAAACGTTCGATACTTTTTTTGGGACACCCTGTATATAAGATTCAGTGTATGTGTGCATTCCTAATTGTCAATGCACTCAAAACCAGGTCAGTTAATCAATCCCAAGCTGGTTTTCAAAGCACATTACGCATCAAGACCCCATTTACCTTATACTTTAACCACCAATAGCTTCTTTTAGACAAGCGCTTAGCAGATAAGAAAGGTAGGATTGGCAGCTCATCAAGACGCATCTAATGGTACGCGTATAATTCGGTCCGCCACTGCAACCTGGTATCCTTTCCTTGTAAGATAAGCAGATTCATAAAAGCGTATGGGCTGCGCCCTACCTCAAGCCTTGCGGTGGAGGGTCATCAATGAGAACCCTCGGAGCATTACTGGAATGGTTGAACTGCAGAGGCATACTCAACAGAAAATGATGCTATTTCCCGTGTTTTATAGATTAAGTCAGTGAGTATAAGTTTGGCTATGATGAATATATGGGAGAGGGGGGGGGGGGTGGCAAGCGTTAGGTACCCAGCCGAGGTGCGAGTATTAGGTACCCAGCCATTAGTGGTATACACCAAGCCATGCCTCTTGGTTGCTTTAGCAGCGGGTACCTAACGATCCGTATTTTTCGCCCGTGAAAGGGGATTACGTGGTAGTGTGATGTCCTCTCCCCCACAATGGTCGGTCGCCTCATCGTGGCGTGGGGGTGACACTGGGTGTCGAACTGCGATGCACAGCCGAGTGTATACTCTGGTAGGGCCTCCCAAGCTGTGAAGGAGTTCGACGTTTCCGGTTTCGGCCGGATGCCTAGCTAAGAACTGGCCACGCCAGATCCTCCGCCGTCTGGCTTCTTCTGGTTGCTAGGCGGTCCCTCCCCGCTCCAAGCCCGGGGTCAGCGATCGCCCCGTGGAAATCAAGAGTATGCCTAGTAAGCCACCTCTTGTAGGGAAACAAATTTTATTACTCAGACAGCAAGAAGATTTAGAAAAAACCCTGCACATCGGATCCCGCCTACGGCGCCGGGTGGTAGCAAGAACGATGTCAGGGTACTCAGGGCGCCTTTCGGATTGGACAAAAACGACACGTCTGCCCGGACGACATGCCATGGAGATTGCCTCATGCTCTGCACCTACAACGCCAGGACAGTCTCCACAAACGCCGACCTACACGCTCTTCTTGACGCTGCAGAGCACATCAACTACCACATCATCGCCTGCAGGAAACGAAGTCCAGGAAGAAGGACGTGCGACAGATGAGTGATGGGACCCTCATCATTCGTGGTGAAAAGGTTCCATCACGAAACGTGGGAGGCGTCGGCTTTGTCGTCCACCCATCTATTGTCCATCTTGTCGATTCGCACGAGATCCTATCACCTCGACTAGGCATCCTACGACTACGACCTCCACATCAGAAGACCATCAGCATCATCAACTGCTATTCTCCAACATCAGCAGCTGACGAATCAGAACTAGATGCTTTCTACGAAGATGTGGAGGAGGTCGTCCGCAACGAGAAGTCCTTTTATAAGTTTGTTGTGGGCGACTTCAACGCGAAAATCGGGATGCCATTGGAAAAGGAATATAGGATCGGGAAGTTTGGATATGGGCTCCGGAACGAAAACGGCAACCGTCTTGTTGGGCTTCTCTCCGCCGCACGACTTTTCCATGGAAATTCCATCTTCATGAAGAAAGAACATCGCCGGTGGACATGGGAATCGCCCAACGGAACGACCCACGCGGAGATCGACCACATTCTCACCAACCGAAGGTGGAGCTTGCTCGATATCTCAGTAGTTCCATCCTTCTGCAGTGGCTCCGATCACCGCCTCCTTCGAGCAAAGGTACGATTCAGTCGAAGACTGGAAAAGGTCTGCCACAGTGCCGCAAGAAGGAAGAATGTCGTTTATGACGGTAACAGGCTGGAGGAGCTCATATCAAGATGTGACTGGCCCATCGAGGAGGACCCAACGTACGACTACGACCGGCTTCTGAAAGGATTGCGAGCCTGCGGAGAATGTGCCTCAGTGACTTCTGAGAAGAACTTGGAACGTATTTCGAAGACCACCAAGGAATTGCTCGAAAGAAGAAGATTTCTGAGGCAGGATCCGAATGCAACCCATCTCGAGCGACTGATAGCCAACGCCAGTTGCAGAACAGCTTTGCAGGAGGATCTCAGGAAGTACAGGCAAGCCAAGATACTGGAAGCAGCCGAAGGAAGGCGAAGTCTCAAGAAGTGCCGAAGGGACCTCTGTGAATATCGCGTACCGCTGGCTGCACTATTGAACGAAGACGGGACTCCGACTTCTTCCCGATAAAGATGGAATCTATCGCGAAGAACTTCTATACCAACCTCTTCCGCTCATCAACACCCGTGCCGAGCCCGTTGTTCCCACTGGAGAAGTACCACCACGAATTCTACCTGCTGAAGTGCGCACAGCGATTCAGACCATGAAGACGTCCAAGGCTCCAGGACCAGACCATCTTTCCGTCGAATTTCTGCGAGCTGGAGGACAACGTCTACACGAGATCCTCGCGTCGCACCTAACAACTTACCTTCAGAAGGAAAGGATTCCCGACCAGTGGAGAACATCAAGAACCGTCCTTCTTCTCAAGAAGGGTGAACGGGAAGATCTTCGGAACTACCGTCCAATATGCCTGCTGAGTGTGCTGTACAAGCTTTTCACGAAGAATATCCTCGCTCGCATATCTAGGACACTGGATGAAGCCCGACCCCAAGAACAAGCTGGATTTCGCAAAGGATTCAGCTGCATGGACCACATCCAGACGGTTTCGAGGGTCATAGAAGTCTGCCGGGAATACCGATGTCTCTCGTCCTAACCTTTGTCGACTACGAGAAAGCCTTTGACAGCTTCGAAACCAACGCCATCCTGTCTGCGCTAGTCGATCAAGGAGTGGACCCAGCTTACGTGAGGACGTTAGCCCTGTTACAAGGACTGTACAACGACGATGCAGCTATTCCATCGCCCCCTGACCATCCCAGTTGGGAAGGGGGTTCGACAAGGCGACACAATTTCGCCGAAGCTGTTCATCGCGGCCTTGCAGTGGGTGATGAAGTCACTGGACTGGGACGAGAGAGGCATACGAGTTGATGGGAAATTCCTGTCGAACCTTCGTTTTGCGGACGACATCGTTCTCTTTTCGAGCAGTATCACTGAAGCAGAGACGATGCTGAAGGAACTGAACGAAGTAGGGAAGAAGATCGGATTGCGAATCAATAGGAAGAAGACTCAGTTCATGAAGAACGCCCTTTGCGAAGATGCAGAAATGGAATTGGAAGGCACCCCTATCACGGAGACGTCTTCTTACGTGTATCTCGGACGTTCGATGAACATGGAGAACGACTTGAGGGAAGAACTTAACAGGAGAAGAAGAGCAGCCTGGGCCGCCTTCGGGCCTCTGAAGGAAGCCACCGACCAACTGACGGACCCGGAGCTTCGTGCTCACCTGTTCGACTCAACCGTTCTGCCGGCGCTCTTTTACGCAGCTGAGACTTGGGCTGACACCGTCGCCACTTCGAAAGCTTTAAGGACCACCCACAGAGCGCTAGAGCGTAGTCTTCTGAAGATGACCCGACACAAACAACATCTCGTCGGACTTCGCAGTACGGATATAAGGAGAATGTCCCGTCTTCGTGACCCAGCGGATTACGTTGCGAAAGCGAAGCATCGATGGGTCGGTCACATCATGAGAAGAACGACGACAGATGAACACTAAGAACATCGGAGTGGATTCCTCGCGAAGCAAAACGTTTCCGAGGAAGACCACCAACGAGATGGGCAGACGTGTTCGTGGAACGGATGGACCAGCTGAGAAATCAGCTGGATACGATTTTTGCACCTGGAACTCGTGGACGCAGCCACCGACGTCAGCCAAGAAGATCGTGGATGTCAGAAGCGAGGGACAGGGAGAAATGGAAACTTCTGAGCTGGAGCCGTCACGTGAAGCCGGGCCATCTAAGTATCTAAGTAAGTAAGTGATGTCCTCTTACTTGCTGGCAAAAACTGTTGACATCATTTTTACACATTAGTGCCTTTCTTTCTCACCTGCGTGTGACTTATGCACATTTCGGTACTCAGGGTCACTTAGCCTATTTGCATGCTGGTTTTCATCAGTTTCGAAAAAAAGTAGAAACCTCTCAATTCCGTGGCCATGAAGTCTGAAATAAAAACTTACCTGCACAAAGTTTTATACACTTCCTTTGCCTTCTCACATACAACATGAGCATAGTAGACAGGACATGGCAGCGACACCGGAATTCTGCATCGTGCATAAAGAAAACACAATTTGTAGCACATTTCCTGAAAAGTTGGATCAAAACTCCTCCTACCAAAGCCATTATCCACTACAACAGTTTTGAGTATTTAGTAGTTAAAATTACAGAACTAGCAAAGACACAAAAATTTCGCTGTTTTTTTCATATGTTTTCAAACGGTTTCAAAAGGAAGGACAATACCGGAAGTGCAACTTCTTTCCCCTAGGCAGTTCTCTAAGGAGCTTCGGAATTAGTAGGAAATTGAAGGATAATGTCTAAGTCACGAAAAAAAGATAAAGTAAGTGAATGTGCGAAAAAGGGCAAAGTTATGTACTGCAGCTAGGACCCATACTTGTGAATGACAGCATAAAAGACAAATGTCATCTAAACAAACTGCAGTTTTTTATTCATAGCGGGGTACTCCGGCCGCGACCTCAAAGCGCGCTACCGTCAGCCCTTGCATTGTGCGCATTCACTGAAAGAATGCAAACAGCAGTAGGGACTCCACACTTACGCATTATAAATGGTCGTCAAATAAGATAAAGTCTGCATGTGAACTTCTACCTTGCCATTCATTTGTTCTAGAAGTCCAGCTACTTCTGCTACCGTCTCTGTAAAATGTGCGCAATTTTCTAAAATGCAAGCAGTGTACAACGTTTATGTTTATGTATGCACCTTAAAATATACTATACACCTCAAAATTTCAGTAACCTGTGTTACTGTACATGTTAAACTCAATTTTATTAGTGAGACTCGAGAAGGTCTGTATTGTTCGTACCTGTTAAATTAATGTTGGGTTTCTTATTTAAGAAAATTCATATATTTCTTTGAAAGCTTTTCAAGGCGCGATGCATATTTAGAAAGACTTAGTATGCCATCTATCTATTTGTATGCTTATGTAAGGTGCTGTTAAGAGTTCTGGTCGTTTTCTTCAAGAATATATACATATATATATATATCTTATATATAAAGCTGAATGTCTGTTTGTCTGTCTGTCTGTCTGTATGTCTGTCTGTCTGTCTGTATGTATGTACGTATGTTCCGAATAGAAAATTCCATTTCTGAACCGATCCGGACCAAACTTGGCACACATACACTACGGGCCCCGGCGGGTGTCACAGGCTACTTTTCGTCATCGATCGATATCGATTTTATCGATTTTTATCGATTTTTTGCTGAGTTCGCCTACGGGGCTGGGAGTTGGCACAGGGGGGTAATCGAGCATGCTGATCACCCCCAAGGGGGGTGATCAGCATGCTCGATTACACTCCTGTGCCAAATTCCAGCCCCCTAGCTCAAATTTTCAAAAAATCGATAAAATCGAAAAAGTAATGGACGATCCTGAAAACTAATATTGTGTTCGTAATCTGCATGCTCGATTACCCCCCTGTGCAAACTCCCAGCCCCGCAGGTCGAACTTTACAAAAAAATCGATAAAATCGATAAAAGTAATGGACGATCCTGAAAACTAATATTGTGTTCGTAATCAGCATGCTCGATTACCCCCCTGTGCAAACTCCCAGCCCCGCAGGTCAAACTTTACAAAAAAATCGATAAAATCGATAAAAGTAATGGACGATCCTGAAAACTAATGTTGTATTCGGAATCCCCATGCTCACTTCTCCCCCTGTGCCAACTCCTAGCCCTGTAGGTGAACTCTGCAAAAAAATCGATAAAAATCGGTAAAATCGACATCGATCGATAACGAAAAGTGGACTGTAACACCCGCCGGGGCCCGAAGTGTATGTGTGCCAAGTTTGGTCCGGATACGGCGGAGCCGGGTAAGCCAGCTAGTATTCTATATATTTTATATCGAGTAGAGGTATTCAATCTGTGCGCTTCATGAAGTACCCTGCGGTATGCTCCCTATCTGTTTCTATATTAATTCACCAAAAAATAGGTAGATTTTATTATAGAAGTAGTTGACAAACAAGGCTTCGGACAGCGCTGTCAACGATATATCCGTAATCAGCATGCTCACTCACCCTCCTCCCCCCCCCCTGTGCCAACCGCCAGCCCGCGGCTAATATTTCGCGGAAAATCGATAAAATCGACAATGATTGATAATGAAAAGTGGCCCACGACACCCGCCCCGTCTCGAAGTGTAAATGTACATAGTTTGATCCGGATCGGTCCAAAAATGGAACTACGTGGGACCAGTACAGATACACATACTCACAGACAAACAAACAGACCAGCTCTGAAAAGGGCAACAAATTGCTCTTTATGTAAATTTCCAATTTTTCTCTGAAAAACGGAAATCTTGCCATTTTCCTATCATTAGTTGTACTAGGTCCGCATTAGCTGCACAGGGCGAAATCGAGGCAATCGCTTCTTACCTAAAATATTTCATGCAGCATAGCTTAGCCTCAGAGACTGGCGTTTGATTCAAAATCTCTCAGTTCAGAAATCTTCCATAATCTTGTTTAGCTAAACATTTCCTAGCACCAGACTTCAATCAAAGTTTTTGAACCAAATGAATCAATTTACTTTTGTTTGATTTAGCGCAACGAAAATGAAAGGAAAGAAGTTTAAGCTTTAGTCACTTGTTTCTAAAGGCATAGAATTCTGTTTTGAACAAAGATTCATGTATGCAAAAGCTTACATTAGAAACTAAAAAAGTTCAGCTTTCAGATCCCCTAAGAAATTTTTGAGAAAAATAAGGTTTTTTGAGAATCACCCTTTTCAGCAAGAGGTTAGAAAAACGTGCGTTAATTATGAGACAACCTAGTTTTCGACTTGATAATGCGTGCATTACCTGCATCAACATAAGAGTGTCAGAAAAGTATGCATACTCTGTTTATTGCCAGTATTTTTCTTGCCGAAAAGTTTTTCGCCTACTTTCAAGTATTAGGTTGATGCAAAAATAATGGCCGATTTTCCAAGCCTTTGTTCAGGGCAACTCTTTTCTATCAGAATATCTTCCCTGAAATACATGCAGCCTACCACTGAGAAGCTGATCTCATGCTCCATCTAATGGTGGTGCAGCGGGCTTCCATCCCCATTCATTATAAACTTACAGAACTTCAAATAACCGCATCTAAATACAGAATTTCATGCATTCACTTTTCTGGCCAGAATTCAAGAGCGCATGAGCGACACTTTTTCGGAAATTTAATATTGTATGTAATTATTATTGTCTACATTATGCATACTTGATTGTATTTTTTGAAGCTACCCAGATTGAGATATCTGCGCCTCAATATGGGTAGCCGTTGCGGTCATCTTATGACTTAAATTGAAGTCTTACAGATAAATCCACATTTTTGACATGCAAAATCGATATAAACCGCCCTCGCGCCGCCGAAAGTCTTGCAGATAAGTCCTCCCATCAGATAAGTCCGCCAACAAATAAGCCCGCCATCGGATAAGTCCGCCTGCCTTGAGCACGAGCAAGCGCGACTTAGGAGCACAGACGCGCGCGACCGCCGCATAGCTTGCCAGTGTAGATTCAAGCAAGGCCGTGATATCGCCTGAAAGAAAGAGCCAGAGGATTTGACAAGCCGTGCAGACTACTTGCTGAGAAGAACGTGGTTTCATCATTGTATCATTGTAATCATCTCATCTTATCATTAGTTTTTTGTATCTCGTTTCGAAAGCGACAATGTTCTCAATACATCGCTCGAACGTGTACAGGCTACAACCTTGAACCTAGCTGTATACTTTTTTATACTTTTTGCTTCCTCTATTGTTTACATGTTCTGAACGTAGTCTCTGTTGACCCACGCCATACGGCTTTTGTCAAATGCTTTCCTTTTTCACTATGGCTTCTGTCAAATGCCTTATTGAATGGAAGAGTGATAGTCTAAAAACGCTCAACCCTAGCAAAGCATTAGGTTTCTTTTCTTTTTCTCGATTCCTTTTCCATTAAGCCTGTACATCCAAGACAAAAGACACTGTAGACAAATTTGGTGCGCCTGCTTGATTGCGCATCCTTTTGTTTTTCATCTGAGAAAAGAAGCGGACTTATTTGACGGCGGACTTATTCGTAGGCGGACTTATCTGCAGGATTCTTGGCGGCGCGAGAGTGCATTTTCGTCGATTTTCCTTGTCAAAAAAGCAAATTTCTCTAATGGGAGGACTTATCTGTGAGATTTTGGGGTATAAATTTCTTTTGAAGAAGGCAGTCGCCCAAACTTTGCTCAGTTCTGTAAGCGTAATGCTAGTGCGTCCTTATAGCTGTTTTTGCAAAAACATCCAGCTGTTCGTTAAGCAGAAAATCGGAAAATTCTACATTTAGGGTGGTTTTGAGGCATACTGAAAAAATGTGGAAAAAACTGACATTTTTGAAATTTAATTTTTATCCTTTCGCAGATTCTTTTTTCCAAACCATTTCCATTGTGTTTTGTAGTACTGGCTTGCGGCTACAAGATAGGCCATTTGTCTATCGTATTAACGAATTTCGAAGAAACCTATGAATTGTCAAAAACAAGGTTTCAGAAAAAAAACCTTTTTTGTCTTTCAGTCCGTATTTTTCTTCCCTGTTATGGTTTGAGTATAAGTAAATGTGCGCTATATTGCGGAAGGTTTGCCGCATCTGAGGTTCTTTGCCACATTCAAAAGTATGGATTTTCTAGGCAGTTATAGGACGACGAAGTCAGAATTTCCAAAACGGCCATTACTTTTGCATCAACCTAATACTTTCACGTGTCGCTGTCTGTCGTATTACTTTGTAAAGTATTTCATAAAATTTAGTCATGTTATACTTCAAAACTCAAAGACTGACTCTTGCTGTGATGTACAAATAACTTATTCAGATTCGGCGACTCTAACCAGTCTGGCTTGAGCGTTTTCAAATTGTTTCATCCCCGTTTTGACTTTAAACATGACTCTGATTGACCCAAAAGTCTTCAGGTTTCTACCATACTCCTACAGTTACAAAATTGAGGATATAAGCATATCAGAATTGTATTCTGATATGCTTATATCCTCATATGCATAAGCATTCAAATCTTTGAGATTAGATCTAACCACATGATGTGGCAGCCCAGTGAAAAGACTAAAAAGTCGGCTGAACAAACTTCTGATTTATCATTAGCTGCCGGGAGTTTCTTCAGCTTTAATACTATTTTCTATAACCCAAAAATGTTTTATGCTAGTTTTGATAATTTCTACAATGGCTCATGAAATGCTTCCTTATATGTGCAAGTACCAAGTGAGGTATTTTGAAAAATTCTTGAAGTAGAATTCTTTTTTCTCCTGTAGCATTTTGTGTCTTAATAAGTGTATTGTGTATCTTTGGCAGATTCTGGGAATAACCTTCCGCTCTAATACAAGTTTAATATCCACATTTAACTGTTCTTGACCTCGTAGATCTTCGCCAAAACGTCTTCCGCTTTATCAAGATTCTTATTGTATTGTATTCGTGTATTCTTCAGGTATTCTTTTCTTCCCTTTCAATCTTCTATTTTTGATTGAACATCAAATATATGGATGTTCCTTCTTTTATAGTGGACTTTGCTGAAATAATTCAAATCTTCGTTTGATTGTTAGGACGAATGAATATGCCGTATAATAATAATATAATTAGCTACTGTATCCATTGCAAACCCCTATGTTATAGGCACCGTCTACCCAAAATAGGGTCTATGAGATTTCGATATCTAACAGTTGCGGAGTCGTCAATGTATAAACGCCCACTTGCGTTGTCTAAAATTGCTTCTAAAGCGAGAAAATTCTTGGAAAATCCTTCGAACGATGGATTCGCCACGTTGGCTCCTCCCTAGCATATGGGCGGTACGCGTCACGCCCACTCAGTGATTCCGCCTAGCAAGCGCAGCTAGGGAAACCGATCGAATCATGCGAGAGTGCGTCTCTGTTCCGCGATGGGCCTAAGCTGGCTCGCGGCTGACCGGTAGGATGGAGGGCATCCAAAACCCAATTATTCAAGGCGTTCACTCAATTTTAGGCCTGGATTTGGACTCAACGGACGCAAGAGATGCTAAAAAAGACAAAAACTCAAAGCTGAAGATTTGGGTGGACGGTGCGTTTAAAGGGACCGTCCACCCAAAAGTTCGAATTCAATGTTTTTGTCGCCCTCAGGCCTTCTGAAAGCCCTTCCGAATGTGGAGTCGAAAATCCGCGAAACCCCCAAAAATCCCTGTTTCGAGAACCCTCTGCAACAGGCGCAGGCGACCATGGTCGCCCCGCCTTCTTTGCTACTTCCGGAGCGGATTTCTCGCTCCAGAACCAGTCTTTTGCGGTGAAGCTTGGAAGTTTGCCTAGTATGGGGGCCCACATTAGTATGCCATCATAATCTCGCCAACCTCCATTTTGGGTGGACGGTGCCTTTAAGGCTCTTTCAGCATGTTAAAGGCACCGTTTCCACCCAAAATGGGATCGATGAGATTTTGATGTCTGATAGCAGAGGTGCTCCAACTGTTTATTTGCCCAACTCGCGCTGCCAAAGGTTGCTTGCAGACGAGAAAATAGCTTCGAAAATCGCTTCGGACAACAATTCGCCATGTTGGCTACCCCTTCGAAGAGGGTGACGTTCGTCTCACCATCCGTGCGCACCCAACCAAATACCGTTCCCGAAGAACTCGCCCTGTGGATTCTGCGAAATGGGGATTGTCAGGGTCTTCGCAGATTTTCGACTTGTCGGGATCAGAAACATGAGAAGGCCCCATACCGAGAAAAACATCGGAGTTTGAGTGGACGGTGCCTTAGGACGATGAGAACCGCGCGGCAGAATGCTTCTCTAAAGCTTGATTCAAGTGCTTATTTCTTTGTCCATTCGTAAAATTTCACTAAATGAGGAAACAAAATCAGGAAAGGAATGTCCGCGCGAAGAGCTTTTCTCCATTCTCTTTTTTGCATAGATAAATGCAAAATTGCTGGTACATGAATAAGAAGTAAGTAAATTCCAAGGAAAACTCACGTAGATTTGATCTGGGCTCAAACCCCATTCATCAAGTACAACTGTGTAGTGAGCAGGGCGGGTTGTACCCTAAAAATCATATTTATACCACTAGCATTAGATTTCAAAATCCCACAAACCCAAATTTCAGAGTGACGCTGCTGTGCTCTCAAGTCTGATCTTGACGAGACGCTACATAGAATTTTTAAGCAAGTTCAATATGCCAGAATATTTTTGTGACAAGTTTTGCTCATTGAGAGATTATGCGAAAATAAGAGAGCTATGAATATCAAACATATTTCAACTTAGAACACTAAACAGTATTCCTGCTAAAGGTAGTGATAGGTAAGCAATTTCGTGATCACTTTTAAGCTTTTTGAATGTGTTGAATCCCTTATTACGCTACGAAACTTCTAGAATTGTCAAGAAGCTGCTTTTTCCTTCCCAAATGCAAGCTAAACGCTAAACGAGCAGCTTTGCTAAACGAGCAAATAGCGAAATGTCGCCTTTGAATGGGAAAATGGCTAGAGCTTAATTAATGGCAGAAATAGGTAATAGTGATAAAAATAGAGATGGTTATACATAAAGTGTGTTACTTATAAACTAGAAACCATTTTATATGTAAATTTTGTATGTAAGTTTTAACTCCGTTTCGTTCCTGCCCTTAGACGGAGTACAGGAACTCCGGGCTCTCCCCGGGACTCCTCAGTAAGGAAGGAGAGCCCGTGAACCTGTTCTATTATATATCAAAATTTTTGCTAAATGTTAAACTTAAACGATCAAATTTAACTTACATATTGATGATCTTATCGTATTTTGTGTATAGATAAATAATATAATAGTCTGAATAGCTGCCGTGAATAGAAATCTTTTGAGTATTAAGTGAGACATATTTGTGTATTTTTGTAAGTAAATTTTTTGTCATAATATTGATTCATTTCTAATGATATCAATGATCAAGTCGGCTGTTCGTCATGTTTCTTATGTAATAGTCACTTATGGTGATAAGAACGAACGATTATTGGTTAGAAATATAAAGTGAGATGAAATATTTATGTATTTTGACAAATACTGGTTCAAGGCATTAGATATTACTTTGATCCTAATGTATTTTTTTGATGTAGAATGTGAAACAAATTTTTGGTTTTATTGTAATTGTGAAATTCATATTTATATAGTATGAACTTATTTTTATGTAGACATTTGAAAATATTTGAAAGAATTATGTTTTCATCGTAACCATTAGAGATAAGTATGTTTCTCAGTTGCAACACTTTCTCAACAAAATCATCAAAATAGGTGCAAGTACGTGCAATTCTTAAAGTTTCTGTGTAAACTATAGCTTTCTTGATATGGATGGAAACATTAGAAGTCATGTGTATATATTTCTTTACTTGAAAATGAAAACTATCTGTCTTATTATACATTTTGGTCACTATCTTGTTATTAACAATTGTAATGTTTAAGTCGAGATAATTACAGTTGAATTTATCCTCGTGTGTAGTATCTAAATCTAGTTTGTTTTCATATACGTTGATGATTGTATTATGAACTTCAGTTTCTGTGCTGTTATGTTCAATGACAATATCAAAGGATACGGAAATATATCCGATATTGATAACACTCTCTTACAAAAAGAAACACATCCATACTATAGTTTAAAAATAACAAAAGACAGAATACGCAGCCAGGATAGACATAAAAATAAAAACAAAGAAACATTAGATACATTCTTATAAAAAATCAACAATAAAAATACACAACAAGACTTATTCCGATACATTCATCCACTGAAAAAGTGTTTTTTGAAACAGGTAATTACAGCATGTTTTGATCCCACATTTTTGAACAAAATTGAACAAAATATAAAGACAACTATATTAAGCATACTTTGCAAATTTTTGTTCAATGAAGTCAAAAAAGAAAATAAAAACATTAATTGTGTCAATGTCAATGTTGAATACATTCACAGTATATTAGACGAAGTCAATCTGAATAAAATCAATAACAGTTATATAAAAAACATTCTCAAGAATAACAATTACAATTACAATCCCTGCAGACTTGTATACAAATACAAAAATCCATTCTCTCAAACAATTTTTAATTATAACTCCATTCCTGCTAAACTTAATTTAGATAGAATAGACCAAATTCTAACCGGAATGCAAATGCAAAGAGCAAGAAATGAAAAAATATGTTGACAGTAACCATGGACACATAGTTACCGGAAATTTGGAAATAATCAAAGTTAAACAGTTAAAATCTATAATGAGTAAAGGTACCAAATACCGATTACACAACAATATCAATAAAAAAGAAATGATAGGTTGGATTAACTCAACAGTTGAACTCATTATGAATAGTTACATCAAAAAATACAAAATTAAAAATGAAGAATTCAAAAATATAAAAACTTTTCTTCTAAAAAAATTCAAACACAGATTCAAACCACTTCTTTATAAAAGAAAACTGAATAATAAACAATACCTAAACGAACAAAATTACAACTTTGAAAATAAATGTATCAAAAACTTTAAAAAGCATTTCGTAATTTGTCCATTAGATAAAGCAAATAATAATTTTGATATAATTTGCATAAAGTTATACATCCAAACCATAATGAAAGAATTAGGTATCGCTTATAACAACAAAAAAATAATATTAGGTCGTTCCGAAAGTTCTTTCCGTTTTTCAACCTATCATAAAAACACGAGGAATGAAGGTAGGGAAACGCTTCAGGAACCATCCGACGCAGCTTTTCTTCCTATTTTCAACTGTCATATTCTTGTAACGCTTGCTCTTGCGATCAGTGAGATAATGTCTGAAATTTCGAACCCATGGTTTTCACGGTATCCAACTTTGGCAATTTTTCACGATCTTCTTTTTTGACTTTTGGAGAAGCTTTGATAGCAGTCAGATAGAGTAAACAAAGTGCGATTTAACGCAATTTTTCGGCGCCTTCAGCTAGCCTTAAAAATTCTTTAGAATATTTTTCTGATGCTATCAAATTCCACTTTTGATGATGCCAAGAATCATAGAACATAAAACGGCGCACAACTAAGGTGTCATTCGATGCAGCTTTTCCTCCTCTTTCTATTGAATATATTTTTCTTCCCAATTTGTGGGAGTTTTTGACGATAAAATTTCCATAATTCTTGATTTTGAACCCGCCAAAGGGTGTACACGCGAAAAGCAAAATCTTATATCTCGAAGCGGTAAACACTGAGTTACTTTGTAAAAATAGTGGACAATCATAAACGACTTTTGAAAGTGTCGAAATCCAAAGATTTGTTAATGTTCGGAGCGTTTTTGTTTTTTGTGACTTCGAAAAAGTGAAGACTTCTGGAAAAATTATCTCAAAAAATACTAAAAAGCCAGTTGAAGCTGCCAAAAAATTCCATTAGATTGCACTTTGTTTACTCTATCTGAGTGCTATTGAAGCTTTTCCAAAAGTCAAAAAAGAAGGATGTGAAAAATTGCCAAATTTGGACACCATGAAAACCATGGGTTCGAAATTTCAGACATTATCTCACTGATCACAAGAGCAAGCGGCACAGGTATATGACAGTTGAAAAGAGGAAGAAAAGCTGCGTCGGATAGTGCCTGAAGCTTTTCCCTACCGTCATTCCTCGTGTTTTTATGATAGGTTGAAAAAACGGAAAGAACTTTCGGAACGACCTAATATTTGATGCAAACGAAACTTATAACCTATGCAAAGAAAATGCCAATGATATAATAGAAAAACACATAAAATTTTGCGATAGCAACAAATTACCATCACAAAATATAAGTAACATTCCATTAGTATACTGTCTACCAAAACTCCATAAAAACCCTATCAAATTTAGATTCATTACTGGAGCTACGCATAGTAGCATTAAACCACTAGCTTTAGAATTAAGGTATCTCTTTCAATACATCAAAACACATTTTAAAAACTATGTACAAGCTATAAAAACAAAAAATATTCTTATAATCATTGGTCTATAGACAATATCGATATCAGTAACAAACTATCGAATATCAGCATAAACAACATGCAAATATATTCAGCTGATTTTACTAATATGTTTACAAGTCTACCACATAGCATAATAAAAACAAATCTTAAAGAACTTCTTTCACTATGCTTCAAAAATGCAACAAAAAATACTTAACGTATAATGGTTTCAATAAAATATATTATACCGATACTATAAACACAAAATCAAAAAATAGATACTACACTATTTCTGATTTATTATATTACATAGATTATATCCTTGGCAACAGTGTTTCCTGTCAAAAAAAATGATCTTCTTTTTCCCCCAGTGTGCACCTAACGTGCAGAAAACAAGCTTCTCACACCTTTGAAACTGTGACGTAAGATTTTTTTTGCGCGCTTTAACATGAATCTCAGAATGAGGTCAACTATTTATGGATTCATTCAAGTTACATTGCAGATGATTAAAGCTGTTATAGCTGCAAGAGTTTAGAAAAATCTATATAGGAGAGCTTAAGAGGATAACAAACAAACAACAGACATCTCAAAAATAGAAATCAAAGCGCTCAAGAAGACTGCCCACCTACAACCAAATGGAGAGTAGAGGTAAAGATTTAGTTTTTCACCAACAAGGAAAAATTTTTCGATTCGAAGTAGCCTTTCCGACGAGATGTACATACGATAGGAGGCTTTGTATACGATTCACAAAACTCGTGTAACTGCTAAACGAGCCCCTGCACCAAAAATAAGCTTTTAATTTCACGAATTGCGCACTCAACGTCAAATATGCGCGGATTGGGCCCCAAACGTGACCGTTTAAAGCAGTGGCAAGTGGTTAGGGGTTTAGATCATCATCAGATTTTCAAATTCCATGTTTTTGTCGTTCCGGGGCTTTTTCATGTCCCTATCCGAATATGAAGTGGAGAATTCGCGAAAACCTCGACAATTCCCCAGGTTCGAAAAGCCTACAAGCGATTTTTTAGTTTCTGTTATTCTACGCCGCAACTTGGGCATTGGTTTGATAGGTGGTCCTATTATCGTAACCAAAAACTGAAGACCCCTAACTCAGGGTGGATCGTTCCTCTAATTGTAAGTTGATTATATGAAGTGTAGCGCAGGCTTCCAAATTTGTGACGAAAGAGCTACGCCTAATGCCAGCAATTTAGCTTTGAAAATGCTGACAATTTAGCGCGGTTATTCGTTTACGCGCAAAATATTTCTGCAAAATATCAGCACTACAATGAAACTATACTTGCCGAAAAATCCACTCGAATGTACATTTCTACAATGAATTTTGACTCTGATAATGTTAGGACATTTTGGCATGAAGACAGAAAGAAACAAATGCAAAAGTGATGACAAGAGACGGATTTGCGCCTAGAACCCATGACTATGAGTACAACCACCTGCCATTACAAAAAGCCCTACGTTGTTTAAAAGCAATTAGCGCGAGCGCGCAACGTAGCAACTCAAACGCTTACGATTTAGTCCAAAAAACGCTTAGCAAACTACAAACACTGTTTTGCGGATAGCAGCGCAGGACGCTCCCTATGTATTGCGCATTTTGTTAAAAAAATGCACTATGACGGAAGATTTCCTTCACAATCTAGGCTAACCAGAAAATTTGGAGCCTGTTTTTCGCTCTAATTTGTTCTGAAGTACAAGCTTACTGTAAATTATGGCCTCACAAATTCCCCATTTTACTACTTGTCTGTAAATTACTTACAATAGCACCAATCTGCGATGCCAGATAGAAGTCGAATAACTGTGGTGATACGACTAGCCTGTCAACGACAGTCCCGGATGGCACATTTACATACCTGAACTGACGTAACTTTCAGTATCAGATGCTATTTCAAACCCCTTACGTCTCCTCTCCTTTCTCGTCCTTCGATGGCCGATAAAAGCGAGTGACATGCCGCTTTTGAATCACTATATAGGTATAAGTTGGCTCAAGTGTGGGATCGTCGCTAGTCATTTTTTTCCAAGAATCTCTAAAATTCAGGAATTGCCCATATAGTATAAATTCGCCATTCACCTATTCAGCAAGTTTCGCACCGGCGATGTATAGCGTGCAGCACGACGCTTTATAAAGTCTTCTTGAATTTTACAGTAAGTTTTTTCATACTCCAGAGGTTACAAGTTGAAAACCTAGGCCCTTACTTTCAAATAACCTTACGGAGCTTCGCCGTCGGTATCCGCTTAGGAGATACAATGAGAATCAAACAAAGGTTTCAACATAGCGCGACAATGCTAACGACGCGTGCGACGTCGCAACTTTTGATGTTTTTAGTTTTCAGAAGAAAAAGGATGTTTGTTACCGGTATGTACCGTGTGCGACAAAGGTTACCATTCGATGCTGAGACGTTGTTCCTACCTTCTACAGTGATGGACATAATTATAGGGACACTCTAGAAATCGTCGTAATTTTCGTTCTTGTCAGTGAATCTGTCTGAAACTTTGCTGTATGGTGCGCATGTAAGCCTACCATAACTCCTCAGAACAGCTTCCAATCCCGTTGATTCCGAACGGAGAAAAATGGAAAAATTCGAAAAAGCCTGTTTTGCAAGCTGGACATAATTATAAGGACACCTGACCTTTTCAAACATTATCGCATTCCTTGACTACCAAATTTTTTTTGTAGAGTTACATCCCGGAATATGAAACTTTTGCAGCACCTGGGACCTGTCATGCTACGGAGAGATGATCTTTGCATTTTTCGTTTCCAAAGGCATCAAAAGTCAAACTGCGTCAACAAACAGCTGGTTTGAGGAGTTTTCAAACCCGCGTTCATTTCAAATGACAGTCCTGGAATACACTTAGCTTTTTTGATAGATAAGGTGAAGAGCGCTTTCGTAAACTCCGCGTAATCGCTGATTTTGACGGACAGACTCCAACCTCAACATAGGGTTGTCGCGCTTTTAAACCACAAAACTCGATTTTCAAGTTACAGAAAACGCTGCAATGTAGCCGCAACAATGCACGTACGACAATAAACTTGTGTGCCTAGTCAGGAAAAATTTTCGGGGTTGCACATTCTGGTTCAGCCGCAGTTGTCATCCGTTGAGAGTTGAGTGGAGCACCCTGCACAATCATATCCAACTCAAATCAAGAAATCGAACAGGAGAGCGTTTGAAACTTCAAAATCTTAACTAATCTCACCTACCGCGTAAAATGCGACATGAAACAGAGAAGGATATAGTGAGATTTGTGATTGTGTTGAATCTACTGCTCGCAGAGAAATTTCGTGGAAAGTATTTCAAATCTAAATGCCAACTGCAGCACTAGAAAAAATCTGAAAGTTGTTGCAAAAGCTGCGTCTCCATGTAGACAATATAATAAATCGAGTCCATCATTTCACGAACATTGGAAAGTGAGTTTTGTGGTTTAAAAGCGCGACAATCCTATGTTGAGGTTGGAGTCTGTCCGTCAAAATCAGCGATTACGCGGAGTTTACGAAACCGCTCTTCACCTTATCTATCAAAAAGGCTAAGTGTATTCCAGGACTGTCATTTGAAATGAACGCGGGCTTGAAAACTCCTCAAACCAGCTGTTTGTTGACGCAGTTTGACTTCTGATGCCTTTGGAAACGAAAAATGCAAGGATCATCTTTCCTTGGGTAGCATGACAGGTCTTAGGTGCTGCAAAAGTTTCATATTCTGGGATGTAACTCTACAAAAAAATTTGGGAGTCAAGGAATGCGATAATGTTTCAAAAGGCCAGGTGTCCTTATAATTATGTCCAGCTTGCAAAACAGGCTTTTTCGAATTTTTCCATTTTTCTCCGTTCGGAATCAACGGGATTGGAAGCCGTTCTGAGGATGGTAGGCTTACATGCGCACTATACAGCAAAGTTTCAGACAGATTCACTGACAAGAACGAAAATTACTACGATTTCTAGAGTGTCCCTATAATTATGTCCAGCACTGTATGAAAACACGCTAGTCCTTCTCCGGGGACAAATTCAAAAATTCCAAATTTATCCGAAGCTTTGAACTATTCACCCATCTTAAAATTTGTTTGAAATCGCTCCGTTGGCCCACCCGGCTGCGCCGTTTTTGGCTCGAAAAAAAAAGATGATAAGAACAAGAATCCATACCCACCCGCTAAGACTAAATACCCCAACTCAAGTTGCCAAATTTGAAAAACTGCCGCTTCGTAGTTTTCAAATTCTCGAACACATGACGGCCAATAACAAGTGCATCTTCGGATTCTTTGGCGCGGTAGCGCGAAAGACAGCTTTCGGCGAACGCGAATATTACAGAGTAATGAACCTCCTCTACATTGCGCATACGAAGTCCAAGTGTGGTGTGTTTCAAATTATGGTATACACTGCAAACGCTGAAAGATAGATTTTTGAGCCCTTTGGAAGTATTAGGTTGATGAATTCAGTTCGCAGATATAGACCACTGCATGACAAAGGCGCAATACCTTTGAGCGCAAACGCAGTTTTGCCGCAGAGCACAAGACGCGCAGCTTTTACAATGTTAAAGATACGCGCGCATCAAGTACGCATCCGCTCAACTAATACTGCTTCCGCGCCTTCGTTCTGCGGTAGCCTTTACATGTAGCGACAGTAGGAGCCCATCATACTGCATTCTATACGTCAAAAAGCTGATAAGACTCATCACGTGTATGCGTGTAAAGTTTCCTTCGGACGGCTCGAAAGCGAAAACTGGCACGTGAATAGACGTACACGCAGTAGTTTTTTTTGCATATAATAGCATTTGAATTCCAGACTCCCCCTGTCGTACTCACGGTTATACGATACAGGAGGTTAATATTTACAAACTAAAAATTACCTGATCCACTTTAGCTCGATATATGCTGTGCGTAACATTTCGGAGTCGGAAACTCCATCCCGCAAGATGACAATGTGACGAGGCCATACTTTTGAGTGCTTAACAAGTGATTTTAGAGCCTAAGTTTGCAATAAAAAACCACTAAATCAAAATGATTACAGTGTACTCCAACTTGCATAGATCTTCATCTTATGAAATGACTCTGATAAAGGAGCGGCAAAATTTATGAGATTGCAGCAGCATATAAGGCAGACAGCAGAAAAAGCAATGCGACGCAAATGTTTTGTTCTTCAACATTGCACTTTAACCATCTAGAAATTCCAAGGCTGTGATCATGGAATCCCAAAGCGAGTCTGCGTCTGCCTTGGTAAGCCCGACGTTCATTCGCCCACTTATGACGTGAATGACGAAACAGCCGGTTCAGCCGGTGAGACAACCGGCAGGACCTGCCACAGATGGTCTGGGGTCAAACTGGACGTCGCTTTTGAAGAAGCAACGTTTCATGAGTTGAATGTGTTCTTTCGCAGCGCGCAAATCTCAGACGCAAGACACAAACTAACAAACGGCTTGTTTACAGCACACAAGCGATCATATGACACCGAATTTGGGCTATGTATATACAATATCACTCCAGATTATATTGTAACAAATTCCGAGAACTTATGTGTCCTAATACCCGTTCCCGAATTTGCTGGTTTCTCGACCAACACGAAGCCAACTGAGTTGGTTTGTAGCATACATATCAGAGAGTTCCATCTGATTTGGACGATTACAACGCTTAGATATCTATCATATAGCGAAGAGAGCAAATCAAACCATTGCCTCTCCTCTTTTTTGAGTCAAAAATAGCGTAAACCAACGCCTTGATAGATTTCGCGCTTCAATCACATGCGTTGTCCTATGAACTATATGACGAAAAAAGCATCGCCAGATTGTTTAGGCCGGTTTAATTGGTCTGAGAGGTTTTCAACAGTCTGAACACTTAAATGGCACCATACTCAATGACGGGGCTTTATTCTGTAATATTAGATACCTCAAAATGCGCTTTTTTCGCTTTTTTATCGTCATTTTGATTGAATAAAGATTCCCCTGTCAACTTTTACGCCAAGGACTTCGTAAATTTTCGCGAAGTCATGGGGGATTTCATTTCCAAAAATGCTCCAAACCAACGCGTGCGGCCCTGAAGACAACGAGACACAACGAAACGAACTTCGTGGAACTTAGTCATTAGCCGACAGAACTGCCTTTCAAAGCATTCAACGGTTTCCTTGCCTTTCATTTGAGCAAAAATCTCATTCTTGTACCTGAAAACAAAGTGTTACAAAGTTTTGACTGAAAAAGTCACAGTAAGGTTTACAAGAGATAATTTACTTTGTAGCCGCCAAGTCAAAATTTGCCACCATGGAGGCAATCGAGATATCAATGCCACTATTGGCAGTAGGATGCGTGACATCTATTCCAACATACATAACAGAATCCTTTGCCGCTGCCTCAGAGGTTCTGATACGAACTCAATTACTAGGTCAATATAACACTCTTTAGTAAAACACTTACTCATTGCTAAAAAGCACTGCTTGATTAACTCCGCCAAGCTTAGCATTTATTTTTAAAGCGATATTGTAATAGACAGTCCTAAAGCAAAGCTAAGTTTCAATTCATGAAAGACCCACAAGAAATTATAGATTTTTTGTTGTTGTTTGTAACTTTTCATGAGAAAAAGACATAGAAAAAAGAACATACTTTTTCGTGCTCTCCATTGCATTCGTGACGGTGGAGGCGTTTATTACCTGACTAGCTATGCCATATTTATTGTCACATATCGACTTTATAAGTCCTGTGAACAATGAGTTATTTATATTGCTGAATTCCGAGACAAATATTAGGGTGAACGGTAAAAAATGGGACAGCTTGATTTTCATTACATTTTGGAATTTTTTTGTTTCGGGCAACAGCAAGTAAGCGGCAACTTAAACGTTGCTTACATGGGCGACCTTCGCTTATTATTCTGACAACGCGTTAACGCTCCTCTTCCACTACCCTACACGTGGCGCCGTGAAGAACTCGAACAGGGTTTTTTGAGCAATTTTCAATCTTGCGCTGTTAACGCCGTAAAGTCGTAAAGCAAATGACATACCATTCGAAAGAGCTCTTCATGCTCTTTCGAACGATATGTTAAATGCGTGAGATTTCTTTTCAATTTCAGAAGAAAAAATCGAACAAACCTGAAAAATAGCTATTTTTGGCGCAACAAAAAACCAAAAAATTATGTTTTGCCCTATATTTTCCGAAGATAGATAAAATCTGAGGTAAGCTGCATATGGATGGATAGAGCGTAAAAAGCTCTATCAGATGATACCTAGAAATCATGCGTTTACCTGCAAAGAATTGAATAACGCGTATCTTTGTTCTCGAAGCTGTTAATGGGCATATCTCCTGACATTAAGAGTTAAAGCCACCAAGCCGTCATGGGTTTGGTGACTGTCCCACCACCCACTCCAGCAGTGGTACTTTGGGTGGTCTCACATATTTTACTGCGCCGATACTGCTCAAACTTCATAATTTCTCGAAGTAACTAACTTTGCATTTTAGCAAGTATAAAAATTATCAATCATATAAATGACCTTATATAGGTGCTATCTGAAAGAGAATAATTTATTCTAATATCCATCAAAATTGGAAAGTTCAGTCACTTTTCTTCCTTGAGAAATCTGCAATTATTCTCAAGGTGTCCCATTTTTTACCGTTCACCCTAATAAAAATGAAAGGCCACAATGCGCAACGAAATTGGTGATGTGTACCGTAGGCTCCTCCGTGATCGTCGTATACTTCATCGGGACCGTTGATGATCAAAAGCAGAAGGACTCTCTTTGTTCCATCTTGTTTCTTCTCAAATCGATCTCGAGCATCGCGCACATAATCTTCGAAATTGTGCGCGTCCGTTTCTTTGTAGACCTAAAACACTTGAAGCAGTGAAATTCCAAAAACGATTTTAGACCTGCATACTCGCACAAGCGGCTCTTCAGCTATGTTCAGCCCGCGCTCCCGACACTTTTCGATAAGTTCTTCATAAAACTTTCTGAAACAACAGATTGGCTCTTACAGAGATAACACTAAGACTTACGCCACGTCTGCCTCTTGGCAAACATTCTCAAGTAGTCCACGATCATTGCGCCTGGCCATAATAAACACGGCAATGTATATTTCACCAGATGGAGGCTCTGAAACAAAATAGTTCAGCTAGGGGAACGACAACACTAATGGTTGCATTCATCAATTACCCTGAGGTAAACTCGGTAAAGCGAACATTCTTCAAGGTAAATTTTACCTTGGTATGTTCGGGTTGTGAAACTTACCTTGAAGTGATGCAATCACTACGTAACATATTTTGGATTTGTTGTTTACCGCTTGGTTACCCTTGATCCGTGGAACATGGCAAACGAGGAGGCAGCAGACGGAGAAATTATGATGAAATATACTGATCTTTGACTTTGGATTGCTGCCAAGTGGCATGCGTTTTGGAACGCTGCCAAATTTCAAAATGAGTGACCAGGCATATTTCCGTGAAAGGGTCACACGTATTCGAAAGGCAATCATGAGTGTCGCAATAATTTTGAGAATGGGTCGCCAGTGTTCGGGTGTGTTATTTGTACCTGCTTTTTTTTCGAGCTTGTTATCCCAGAATGTGTCTTTCAAATATGTTGTACTCCTATTAGTTGCTTTTGAAATGATGCCAGATTGTGTAACAGCGTGACTTGAGCTATCATCGGCTCCCAGATTCGTGTGGAGGTGGAGTCTTGCCAACTCACCGCGTGGCGGTTTTTGCTAGCAAGAGATTACGAAAAGCAATGCTATGACGTGGAGGTTTAGCAAGTTTACATGTGTTATCAGGCAAATCTGCAATACACCTCCACACGAATCTGGGAGCCGATCATAAATTCATCTATGTTCTCAATTCTTGGTAAAAATGCTCTGACTAAGAACAGTCACTTTAAGATTGTTTCCGCGTGTAGACAAGAGAGTGCTTGAGTGACTTGGCCTTGCTGGTACTTTTGAAAGCGTTTATCTAACAACAGCTTGCTTTGCTAACTGGGTTCACGCTGGCGCTTTCAACTAGGTATCGGTGATGTGTAAGCGGCACGTAGGGCAACTCGATCGGGCAGCGAAACAGATTTTTGTGCGTTTGGGGCAGTTCTCAGAATTAAAAGTCCTGGTACGGCAATTTGAAAATACTCTGTAAATACTTGATTTCGTTGTTTTCTTTTTGTTTGAGTCGTAGTTGGTATTTCTTATATATACGGTCTTCAAGCGGCACATAGGGCATAAATTTGCTTTTTGAATAGTTACTATCGGTCTGTAAGCGGCACGTAGGGCAATTTGATTGGACAGGGAAACAAATTTTTTGTATGTTGATTGACGGTATTTAGGTGGCTTAGTAGTCGTGCTCTTCGGGAAGGGATCTCCTTTTGCAGTAAAACTTCATTTTCCTTTGGCGAAAAAATTGAAGGATTCTCTGAAAAAATTGTTACACATTAATTTCGTTGCTGTCGGAATTGATTCTGAGAGAAAAGTGTCGTAGTGTACGTAGTTGTGGGTGTATTTCTACTTCCAAAACTATAGGTGTTCTGCTACTTAATTAACGATCTTCTATGAAATTTGTTGAGAAGAACTGGAAGAGCAAATTCTCTTCGAGAGGGTAAAAAAGTGGGGCGGGGCTTATCTGAATGTCTCTGAGAGGCGGGGAAATTTGCAGAAAGAGCGAGGTAAACGAGGGGAAAATAATATTTTCCATGCATTGTTGTAGCAGGAATTTCGAGAAATGCTGAATGATTTGTGGAGATTATCGCTTCTTCGGGTTCGGCCAGACTGCGCGTACGCCGCGTATGCTCCTATGATGAAATAAATCGAGCGTACACTGCGTACGCCGCGTACGCCGCTTCCCCGCGAAGTCTGACTCAACCCTTAGAGCAGTTCTCCTTTTGTAGAATGCTTTTCGCAAAAATGTTCTCAGGAAAGGAATAGGAAACTTAAGAAGTATTTATAGTCACAACTAAGTCCTTATATTGTATCTGCCCCGACCCACTTACTAGCGACCCGTAGGGTCGCTAGTTGAGAGATACAAATTCAAGATAAATTCTTTGTTCAGTGTTAAGGAGAAATCTACTTCAAACTTGTATTATACCTCGATCCAGCACATTTGCAAGGTAAACTTTACCTTGAGGTATGGTTGTGAACACGGGTTAATAGCTCAAAAAATGTTCTAAATATCTCGATAGAAGCAACTGATCGAGCATGCCTTGCAAATACGGTCATGCGCTGTCAAGGTATATTTTACCTGTATGTTAATGGATACGGCCACAGATATAAGTTTATGTTGTACGCAATACTTAGTGAAATCCTCAATCCTATGATATGAGACCACCAGTGGCGAGAGCGTGGCGTCAGCCACGCCCCCGAAAAAATTTTTTTATAAGGCTAATTTGAATTTTTAAAAAATTTAAAAAATTATTTTAATTGTTTACAAGAATAAACAAGTCATTTGCACATTTTTAGAACTCATATAAGTAACTTTCAAACATTTCGCGACCCGTTCTCGGGGGGGAGGCGCCCCCCCCCCCCGGTACGCCACTGGAGACCACCGATTCAAAAGTATGTACAAACTATCTACACATTCTGAATATTTGATAAGTACAATTAATAGTGGGCACGGGGACGAGTGATGTAGTGGAAGGAGGTGCGGCTATGATCAGGGAGACGAGATCGATCCACACCCTGCCAAATCCCTCCACCTTCTGAGAGGGCAGATTGGTATCAGCTAAGTTGAGAGGATTCAGTCACTGCTTTGACATTGGTGAAAAATTGCACAAATTTGGCAGCCTCCTTGATATAAAGCAGAATGTGTGCGGCGCACGCCTTTGAAAGGAATCAAGAAGCCGAATCTCTTTTTCCTTGTACAATGTGCATATGTTCGGAGACAGCTACTGAAAAGATGTGAGCTAAAGAGAGATGTAAAAGATCTATGCTAGGTTTGTCAGCATAAACTCCTCTGACGCGCTCCACTAACTAACAAGGGACAACTTCCTGTTCATCATTAAATGGAACTTTAAACCTCTTTTATGCGTTGCGTATTGCAAGCGATATATAAGCACATTTGACTTATTGTTAACTCAATATGTCAGGCGTTAGCGAGAACTCACCATTTAACTCCTTTTGACGTATCGCTCTCTTTTCCGTCATTGGTAGTTTGCTGCCATCCTAGAAACAAGCCTTGAGAACTGTTTGGAAAAAACGAAACGCCCCGAGCATTACCGTCCGTTTGCATGATTGTGGCAAAATGTTTCGTGAAAGATTGATAGGCTTCCAACAGACTCATGAAAATTTGTATGCCCAGCGAGTTGTCTCCGAAACTAGCTCATGGGTATAAGGTATCGAAACGATAGAAACGTGAAAAAATTCGGCGCTGATGGTGATTCAACTTTGAATCAAATTTCAGCTCAAGATTTTTCAAAGATCTAATAGTTGTGAGCATTTTGTGGCACAACTTCGCTATTTTGCACATTCTTTGAAACAAGTCTAACCACTTTTACAATTTAAGGCATAGAGGGTAAAAGCAAAGAACTTCAATTTTAGGCCTATTACAGTTAAAGGTATGGAACTCCGAAATAAACGCAGAATTACGAAAATAAAGGCACATATATGGAATCTATTTGAGCGGGGTTTTAGCTATCTTGAAAAAACTCTAGAAAGAACGATTTCACCTGATAAAGTAGCGCTTCGAAGATCTCTAAAGAAAATAAGAAGCGTTCTTTGCTTTGAACCAGCCTAATTTTTTTGTCAGATTGGTATCAAGGGAGGATAGCCAAATATGGCCAGCACCGGCACCACTTATGGATTACTATATGGTAAGCTCATAAATCCGTGAACCAAGAATTGAGTGAGGATTCGGTGAGAATTAAGTAACTGAAAGAGAAAAAATTCATAAACCTGTTCCTTCATTGAGGCAATGACCTTTCTTATTGAAGCGTTAATATAATATAGTTTGAGTTCTTTACTGTATCAAATTACCTGGTCAACAATTGCTGGTACATCCAGTACTCTCCCCTCACAGCTTATCATTGACGGAATCACACTGAACTAAAAAATCTGTTTAGTATCGGCATATCGTAAGGGCTGTATACAGAGTGAAACTATCAAATTTGCATGATCACAATGTTTTGCAAAGAACAGAGTAAGGGCAGAAACTCAAATTTTTGCTTTTTCGCTTACCTGGGCTTGTCCGCTAAGTTGAAAAATTCACCGAAGTTGAAAAATTCACCGATATGACCGACTGCGATGTCATTTATTATGACGTTCTTTTTAAAGCTCTCTATAGATAGATAAGAAAACTTTCGAATATCTCCAGAGTAAAGAAGCGATTTCCAGGCTGTTTTCTAGGAGCAAAAACTAGCGACGTGCTCTTGTATGTGCGTAGCTGAGCAGATGAGAGCAGTTTAGGAATGAGGAATGAAGACGAAGTTTGTCACTTTTCAATTACATCGTTTTTCTTCTAATTTAGATTTCCATACAACATATATATATTCCATACACATGATTGTTTCAATTTAACGGGATTGCCGGCTGAAAGGCGACCGTTCGCACACGCAACGCAGTCTGCGTCTATCGTGAGCGTGCTATCTGATTACCTTCTCGCCTCTACTAGGTCTCAAGCCCCGCCTTCCAGCCGCCAGTCCGGCTGAATCAAAGGTTATGTGATGTAATTACTATATAGCATTAAGGAGTATCAGGGCGTTCACGGAAGGTGTGGAGATCTGAGCTCTCTAGAAACCTAATTTTCACAGGGATTAATGATTATGCCGTGTTTAATATGTGTAAAGCTTAATTTTCTCTATTCGACTTAGTGCCACATGTTCCACTCAGTACTTTCAGGGAGCAAGAATTTTGCTTGAACGCATGCCCGAGAACTTTCTTACCAATCTACTTTTGAGCACGAAGGATGCGTTGAGGATAAAAACGGCTTTGCATTTGTTTGTATCAAATCTCATGATCAATGCAGGGGGTGGAAGCGACTTGCCATAAAATCACGGAGAAAATTCATGTTCGTGTTTTCAAAGTCCATCCATTTGAACATTTGCTCGGTCAGTTTTTTATGTAGCTTGGGTTCACGGCAAACACCCTGAAATTCATAACGTAGCAATTGAGCAATTTATCTTTCATAAAAAGTTGGTACTTCAATAAACTTCATCTTCATTAAGGTGCTCATAGTTTTGGTGTATCTCTGAGGCTTTTCATGGACGAACAACACCTAAAAATAAGCATTTGCAATATATCTTGCAAAAAATGTCGTCAAGAATACTGGTGCAGCTTAAACCAACCTCCATTGGTAGCTCGTATTTTTTATTTCCAATGCTGACCCTGCACAGTGGAAGGTATGGGTACCTAAAAATGAGACATACCTAATTATGTCAAGAAAGTACCTGCCATACTCTAACGGTTCTCCCAGTCGATAGTATATCTCCGCCATGGTCATGTCGCCGAATACTTGAGTTTGAGGTGGGTAATTAACCACTTCAGTAAATATCATTCGCCGTTCGGAGAGAAAAGGACGATGATACCTTGAATGTTTGAGATGTGGTTCCACTGTTCTGACCTGCAGGCTACCCCGATCGTACGCAGATTGCGAGCTGTTGCGTTCACTTAGGACAGATAGTGAATGAGAGAAAGAGCACAACGCTAGAGCAGCGAGAGTGCACTGAGCAAGAGCAGATGTGCAAACCCGCAATTCCGCGAACAAGCGGGATAGCCTATTCGAGAGAATCTAAAACTTAATTTGCATATTTTCTGAACAATTTTTCATTGCAACCAGGACAGCGTAGAAAATATAGCACATACGGCGACTCTCTGCGGCGATCTGTTCATGGGTTGTCAAGTGAAAATTTTGCTTATTCTAATCAATATATTAGGTTGTCCCAAAAGTAAACCGTATTTTTAAATAAATCAAACTCTTTTTGTTTTCCTGGCGGACCTAGGGTACCATTCGATAAAGCGAAGCAAGGTCTGCAAAATGACCACCAAGGGTCCTCCTAATTCGCATTCCATGTAAAGTTAGAAGCCAAAATCAAAGAAAAAATTTTCACCTGAAAATTGGATTTTCGCGAGGAAAAACCCTACGGATCTCCAACTTGGTCATTATACAGTAGGCACATAGTAGTACTCAAATAAGCTTTTGCCGAATTTTTTCCGAGCATAGAAAGCGAGAAACAAAAATTGTCCAAAAATGGCAAACTCCGCCCCCAGCCCCTCCCACATATGCCATTATATACTACAAGCCCTACTAAGTATAATTCCAAAACCTTACCCCTGTATGTCTTCTTATAATCGAGAAATACCAAGTTTTACATAAAAAACCCGAAAAAAGTGGGATTTTGGCATTTTGGGACCCCCTTTTTTTCTCAATTTTGAGCTCCGGAAAAAATCCACCAAATACACTTTTGGATACTGCTATTTGTCTACTATATAAAGACCAAGTTTGAAGTCCGTAGGAGTTTTCTAGAAGGAAATCCGATTTTTAGGGTAGCTGAAAAATTTTGATTTTTGTATACAAATTTTACCTGGGTAGCGACTTACAAGGAAAGGAAGGTTGGTCGAAGAGGCCTTTTGAAATGAGGTGTATACTGCCTTGTAGAGCTTGGAACGCTGATTTCAAATCTACCTTTGCTACCTGCTGCGGGCTTCTGGGCGACGAGTTATGAAGGTTTTTGTGGGTAAAAATCTGAATGCAAAAATAGGGTAAAATCAGTCGTAACCTTTTCCCAATGTTCAAATGAGGCAGCAGCGAATTGGTATACTTGAATCAAGAATATTTGTTGCACCGAGTGAGCCGACTACCAATTAAGCCCTATAAAAAATGTTACGAGTGATTTTAGCCTACTCTTGCATTCAGATTTTTACTCACAAAACCTCCATAACTTGTTGCCCAAAAGTCCGCAGCAGATAGCAAAGGTAGATTTGGAACCCGCGTTCCAAGCTCTACAAGGCAGTATACATCCCATTCAGGGCCCGGCACGAGGTTGTCAAATGACAAGCTGGAATTCGTTTTTAGCAAAACCAGCAAAGGGGAAATCGTTTTTGCGCGGTCCGGGGCGAAGCCCCGGGAAAAATTGGTAGTTTATGCCCTCTGCTTATCTTAACATGTTATGTGCTTCAACAGGTGAACACTGTAGTTCGCGTGCGTCAAACCGCGCCGTCGCTAATTGCCGCACGCGCGACGTCGCTCAAACGATGCTATCTGTAGCAACATACATGACTGGTTCTCAATGTATGCGTAACGATATGTCACCAAATTTTGTAAGCGAACGGAGAGAGGCTAGTGGAAACAAAGTATGAAAAATTATGAAAAACTTATGTGAACGGAACGAGTAATAAGCATTTTTTCCGAAATTTTTGCAAAATTGGTAAATGAAGGTGTAAATTCAAATGGCTCGTTTGCAACGCGCAGATGACGACATGGTATGGAACTTGGTACATACGTGGGCACAAGCCTGTAGGTTTTAAATTAGAGGTTTCATTGAAAAATTATGTGACTGAAAATTGTCGCAAACTTTTTCTGAAAATTTCCCCCTACCAAAGAAACGAAAAAATGGCTCGTTTGCAACGCAGAGGGGACGAAGTCGCGCGAGATTTGGTGTGTATATGCGCAGTAGGACTAAGTAACAAAGTATGAAAAATTATGAAAAACTTATGTGAACGGAACGAGTAATAAGCATTTTTTCCGAAATTTTTGCAAAATTGGTAAATGAAGGTGTAAATTCAAATGGCTCGTTTGCAACGCGCAGATGACGACATGGTATGGAACTTGGTACATACGTGGGCACAAGCCTGTAGGTTTTAAATTAGAGGTTTCATTGAAAAAATATGTGACTGAAAATTGTCGCAAACTTTTTCTGAAAATTTCCCCCTACCAAAGAAACGAAAAAATGGCTCGTTTGCAACGCAGAGGGGACGAAGTCGCGCGAGATTTGGTGTGTATATGCGCAGTAGGACTAAGTAACAAAGTATGAAAAATTATGAAAAACTTATGTGAATAAAGTGCGTGCTTAACTTATTTCTAAATTAGCTTGTCATTTGACAAGCTAATGACAAGCTGAGCTTGTCAAAACTCTCAGTTCACATAATTTTTTCAAAATTTTTACATAAATCTACTCTGCACCTAAACATTAGTATATACTGAAATTTTGGTTTCAAACCTCCTCCTCTCCCCATTACTAGAGGCAAAAATAGCCTCAGAAGTCCCGTGTCTAAAAGAGGAAAGCGCGCTCCAATCGATAAGGCGTCGCTGGGCCAATCGATAACGGCGTCGCTGGGTCTTATAATCGGCGTTTTTTCAGTTTTCCTCACCATTTTCGTGCCAGATTCTACCTAAATGAATAGAAGGTGAGTTTCTTGTTTCATTTGATTGTGCTTATCCCAATTTTCATGAGTTTCACACTTTTTACATAGCAATTGGTATGATGTTTACATTTTTCGCCGCCTTCGACTTCTCTTTTCCATTTTTTCCTTTTTTTTAGATCGCTCCAAATTGAAAAGAAGGTGAGTGTGCTGTTTCATTTACCTGTGTATGATGCAATTTGCGTTCATTTTATGCTGTTTACTTACCATTTGTATAAGTTTGACTCTTTTCGCCGCCTTTGATTTTTTTTCGAGTTTTCTCACCGTTTTTTTTCTGTTCTCGCCAAAGTGAATGAAAGGTGAGTCTATTGTTTCATTTACATGTGTATGATGCAATTTGCATGCATTTCATGCTGGTTAAATGTTGCTACGACGCCTCGCTCTCCCTCGGGGGGCATGTGCGTTGTCAAAACTCGGTTTTTTTTTGAATTTGTGCTTCTTGTGCGACCTAAATATGTTTATTTATGTCACATTTATACTGTGCATGAACAGCGCTGCTCTTTCAGTGAGTATTTGACTTTTACTCGCGTTCTATTGTGGCATAGCCAAGGTAAAAAAAATGCGATGAGTTTTTCTTCTCATTTCTAAGTGTTTTTCGTTTTTCATCAATTCTACTCTTTCTTTCTTGTACCTATCTCCTACCTTCATTTTTTACTGCGTCATATTCATCTCCATTTTTGTCGTTGACAGGGTTACGCATCATTCACTCATCTACTTTGTGAATAAGAGAGTTATATGATGATGTGACCTTTGGAGCGACGCTGCTCTTTCTTCCTCACCTTCCTTTTTTACATCTTTCATCAAAAATCCGTCCTATTGCACTACACTCAGAGTTCAGGGCATTTTCAAGGCTTTGCGTGCATGAAATTGTCACAACAGCCACTGCGCTGCTGCCGTTGCGGCGGCGAGCGTCTTCGCCGTTTTTTTCTTCAATAAAAAGTTCTATGGGTAAAATGTTCGCTACGCAATCACTGGGATTAGTTTTTGGGTCAAAGGGGTATTCGTATAAAAATTTTGGGGTCAAAGGGGAATTCGTTCTCGAAAACCCCTTTTGACAACCTCGTGCCGGGCCCTGATCCCATTTCAGAAGGCCACTTCGACCAACCTTCCTTTCCTTGTTAGACGGTTCTTTGGTGGTCATTTTGTAGAGCTTGCTTCGCTCTATCGAATGATGTCCCAAGTCTGCCAGAAAAACAAGAACAGTTTGATTTATGCGAAAATACGGTTTACTTTTGGGACAGCCTAATAGTTGAGTATTGAACTCAGCGTCTATAAAAACCCTATTACACAAGTTTTCACAATTTTTTGAAAAATTTCGAAACGGCAGCTTTTTCCACATTGACACCATATGTTTCAAGTTTCTACCGTAATCCTACAGTAATGAAGAGAGATGGGTGATTCGTTCTATAATGGAATCTAAGTTGAAGCCAGCTCTACAAAACGGTACCTGAAGCAAGGCAAAAGACTTCTTGGGAAGAGAGATATTAACGATCAAACGAGTACTCTGCGTTGATACCACTGCTT